AATCTCAAGGCATTACAGAGACTTGCAACATGTAGCCTGCATGTCTACCCCAGTATGAACGTGGTAGCTTTTCTGGTTTCTATAGATGTGAAGCAGGCTGTAAGACTTTCTTCTCGGGACAGCATTTCTTTTCTAGACTGTCAATCGAAAGCAATGCCCACAGTGAGAGCGGACACAGAGCCTGGCGGGCACTGCACGTGCTGGGCACAGGCCTGCTCTCCCTGCCTTGGGAAGCAAGTGCGTGCTTCCACCCCAGGCTAGAGCCACCCTGCAGTCCCAGCGGGTGCCGCCAGACATGGTGCACGAGCCCCTGGTCTTGAGTGAGGGTGGGAAGCCTGGTGTTTCCTTGTGCCCGACTGCTGCTTGGTGCCCCAGACTGGGCCTTGCATACAGGTGCACTCCCTTCCGTGGGGTGAGGACAGTTGTGGACTGAAGTTCACAGCTGAAGTGGGCGTTGGCCGGGAGGCAGCTTGGTGTTGTGGGCTGAGCCACGTGGAGAGGAGCTGGGGACTGTGCTTTCACCACCGGCTCTTCTGAACTCTTCTGTATGCACAGGTACCCATTTTGTCCAAATAGAATAAAAAATTTCAGGATGAGCTCTTATGACTAAAGGAATTCTGCAGGAATTTATTATGGGGGAACTAACTGCCTTTGACTTCCCACTGAAGCCTGTGGGATCCTGGAGATGCGGCCATCGGCTCGAGGTGGCCAGGCTGTTGCCCTAGCTCCCTTCTTACCATCTCCCACAGGCTGCGGTGCTGGACTTGAGGCCCATGTCCTGTCGCAGTGTCACATCAGGGGGATTTATAGGAGTAGTTGCTTGGTGACCGTGCAGGAAGGTTGGGCTCAAGGCCTGCTTGGGCGGCTGCTCTCACCTCTAACAGCACTGGGGACTGGGGGCACCTGCACCTGCACCACAGCCCTGACCACAGCAGACAGTGGTCCTGTTCGTGGCAGCTAGGTGACTGCTTGCTAGGCAGGTGCCCAGCCTCCTGTGTGTGTCTGCACCCTTGGGTGCTGGCCTGCACCCTTGCATCATGTCCAACCTGGGAAACCCCAAGGGCAAGGATGGATGCACTCAAGAATCTATGCAGATTCCACACTATGGGGTCACTTGGTGAATGTGATCCCAGAACACCCAGGGATTAGTGGTTTGCTCTTTCCAAAATGTTAGTTTCTTACTCAGTTAAGCTTGCAAAGTGTCAGTATTTATTTATGAGTCATAGAAAGTTATTAGTGTTTGCCAACTCTCATGAAAATGAGGTGAGTTAAGATAGGGGTTCCCTTTGACCTCAGTATTGAACCAGTCTGTGTTCATTGATTCCCAAACAGAGCACATCCTGCAGTCTTCACGGAGCCACTGCCAGCACACCCGAGGTGGCTGGGCTTGTGTCAAGGGGTGTGGACAGGAGCCCAGATAGAAGAGGGAGTGGTGGGTGCTGAGCTGCTGGCAGGCGGTATTGGGGGCTGGCTGGGAAGGGCCAAGGTTCTGTTGTGGAGGCTCCAGTGCCCTCCAGTAGCTGTGCCCATGAGCAGGGAGGTGGGTGCTTTCCAACAGGACACGTTGCTGGAATCAAAACGACTTTCGTTTGAGAAATGAAAGCTCCATTTGCCTTTATAGGGTTTAGCTGGGCCTTCTGCAGCCCACTGGGCCAGCCCTCCCCATCTTCCCCTGCTTCCTGTCCAGGCCCCCAGCACCTCAGCTGGGCCTGTGCCTTGGCAGCCTCGAGCTCACCCTCCACAGGAGCTAGAGGGGCCTGTGATGAACACCAGCACTCCCTTGTTTAGGGTGACACCCCACTGCCAAGGTGCCTGGTGTCACCAATGTTTCTGCTCCTGGTGCATTGGCCCCTGAAGCCTGGTTGAAACCCTAGCCATGTACCACTTTCTCCTGCCACAGGGCCTTTGCGTGAGTGCACCTGGAATAGGAGGCTCTTGCTGGCTCCCCAAGGTTCCCTTCTGCCCCTCCTCAGTTCTCAGTGCAACCTTTATGGCCTAAGAGAAGCAGCAGGAGGGAAAGTGTTGGGGCGCTCACACCATGCAGAGTGCTTTAAACACAGTGTTGCATTTTGTAAGAGTCACCTCATTCGTCAGCACAAAACACTGAAAGGTAGGTGATGCCCTCACCCCCGTTCTGTGTGGGGACCTGAGCTGCCGCAGGCCGTATGCCGGCAGTGTGTGAGTTCTGGTCCGACTTTGCTTTTGGGGTTCTGGACACACCTCTTCCTGGGTTGGTGCTCATTTAGCCCAATAGAGACTGGACACCACTGACCCCTTGTCCTTTGTGTAGTTTTCACAGATTTTATTTTTTTATAAAAAGTAGTGCGTGCCCACAGGTCAGGATTTCGACAGCAGTGTTCTGGTGGTGGGTGCCTCTGTGCGGTGCCGGCATTGGTTCTGTCCCTGGGTGTGGTATCCAGGCTGCCCTGGCTGTTCATGCCCTTGGATGCCTAGCAAGTACCTCTGGCTTACATGCCAGCTGGGGTGTGGGGACATGCTTCTGTTGGGCTTGGATCAGTGGCCCTGGGTTTCAGCTCATGCTCCCCAGCATGCAGGCCGGGCCTCTGTGCACAGCCTGGCTGAGCCTGCTCTTGGCCCGTCGGGTCTGTAATGGAATCCACCTTAACATACCATGGTGAGGTCCAACCTGTGTCACGCGTACAGGAGCCTTTGCCTGCTGCGTGGCTGGCTACTCCCCTGTCTCTGCAGCTTCACACCCATCCTCGGTCCGAGCTGTGGCATTTCCATGTGCAGATTCAGATGCCGGCACTAGCACCTGGCTCGGGTCTTGTCTGAACAGACACTGTGCCTTCCCCCCAGCGCTCTTCCCAGCTGGTATTTCACACCGTCTCCAGGTTCTCCCCCTCTCTGACTCTCTCCTTCACGTCTAAGTTGTTGGGCCACTTGGGTTGGCTTCGGTGCCTTGGAAGGACGGAGTATAGCTTGAGTTCCTCAGATATGGCCTGTTCCCCACCCCTGCCCCCAAACATGGCCCTCTCACAGGTACTGTGTAGTAGTGGCACATGGTGGTGGCAGGTGGAGCCGGCCTGCCACATGGCCTGCTTGCTTTGTGCCTCCGTCTTCCCACGTCTAGTCTTCCTCAGGGGCGGGCACATGTGGCCTATCCTGTTCTGATACTGCATGTGCATTTGCTGGACAGGGGTCCAATGTAGAGGGCTAGCCCCTGCCAGGATCCCAGCCCCAGAGAAGGGTGGGGGTGTGTGAGTGAGTCTGAATTCATGGGTGTGCTGTGCCCGTGTGAACTGCAGAGCCTTCTGTGTCGGGGAGCCTGGGGTGTTGGGACCTTTTAAGCAAAGCAGAGAGGCCAGCATAGTAACAGCCCTGCAGTGCCCTCGGCTCCCGGCAGTGCTGGCTGCACTGACGGCACCACCCTGCCACAAAAGTGTCCCTTGTGGTGAGCCCTGTGTCTTCCAGATGAGCCGCCCACAGCTTGTGTGCCACGTCCTGGCCACAGCTTTCCTTCCTGTCCTTAGGCACTCTGGTGGCTAACGCTACATGGATATTTATCTCAAAAATAGCATGGATGACATGGTGGTTAAAACATGAAATTGGGTGAGTTCTGGTCCTATTACGTAAATTCTTTTGAGCCTTTTCTGTAGCAGTGTGAATTACGTGACTCCTCTTTGACTTTTCTTTTTTCTCGTCTCACTGTTGGTTGAGCTCTGAGCATCTTGTGCCAGGCGTGGCCTGCGCTGGGCACTCACTGCTCTGCAGACTCAGCTCTGGGGCTGGAGGTCAGACCCCTGGCTCTGCTCCTCACCGGACGGTGTTTCTCTGAACTCTCCTCTCCGCAGCAGGGCCTCCCTCAGGCCCTCCAGGCCCTGGGCTGAGTGCCCAGCGGGGTGGCAGGGGTGGCAGGCATGGCTGACGCCCTCCACTGTCTACAGATGGGCCATGCAGAGAGGCTGGGCCTCACCACTGCCCTTGCTTCCCAGATCTCCCGCCTCTCCTCCCACCTCTGGACGGTCCTTTCTTGTAAGGGCAGTTCAGTGGTTGACTTGGAGCTCAAGTCCATTACTACTCCCTGGGAATTCCTCTGGTGGCTTTGATTGCGTGGCCGGCCAGCCCGGATGGCCTACCCTGCACAGCAGGTCGAGGCCGTTGTCGTTCAGAACAGATGAAGAGCCACACGTGAAATGATGACGTTTCGTTAGACTGTGAGAACGCTGTGCAAGGTGCCTGCGTTAGTGGGCCTCTGCCAAACGTGCCTGGGCTCACCTGACAGGACAGCGCCCCGTGGCATGCACCCTGCCTGTGCAGAAGGCACTTTCTCTGGCAGTGTGTGAGGTCCTTGGAGCTTCCGCGCACACTGGCCCACGTCCCTCCTCTTGAGTTTAGGTTGCGCACTCGGGGTGGGGACGTTGCCACACCGCTCCATCAGGTGGACAAGGGGATGGACAGGGGCTTTCTGGGCACCTTCCACTTGTGATCACCAGTCATTGAGACATCAAGTGACATGAAATTGAATACGCAGATCTGGGCATTGTGGAAACCCCAGGGTCTTCTACGAGTGCAGCATGCATAGAAGTCCCAAGCTGCAGCTGTGTGCGTGGTGAGCATCTGCCAGTCAGGCTCTGCTGCAGGAGTCCCAGCGTGCTGGCCAGGACCTCACCTGGGGGACTTGGCCCTTGCTCCACCACCGTTGTTGCTCCATGGTGCCTCTGTGAGGTCCAACCTTGCCATGTGCCGAGAGCTGGGTGTGTGTGCATTGTGTTGTTTAAGCTATTGCTTCTCCCTCTCCCCCATGGTCGTGGTTTGTTATTGTGAGTGCGTATGAGGGTGCGTGTGCAGCCCGAGAGGCAGAGTGCATTCTGTGCATGCTGTGTCTAGTGTCCAGGTTGCAGATGCGGAGCATGTTGTTGACTGAACGAGTGTTGTAGAGAATAGAGCTGGGTGTGGGTGCTGTGGCCACCTGTGTGGGGAGCACTTCTGGGCAGGAGCAGGGCAGGAGTGCAGGTGCACCTGTGCTGGTCTCGCAGAGTTGACGGGTGCTGACCTGAAGGACTGCGTCAGCAACAACAGCCTGAGCAGCAATGCCAGCCTCCCCAGTGTGCAGAGCTGCCGGCGCCTGCGCGAGAGGAGGGTCGCCAGCTGGGCTGTGTCGTTCGAGCGTCTGCTGCAGGACCCTGTTGGTGTTCGCTACTTCTCTGTGAGTAAGGGCATCTGGACTCCTTGCTGAGGCTGCTTGGGTGGGATCTACCACCCAGGGCTTGGCCAGTTGCCTCAGACCCCAGAGAGCATGTCACCCTGTAGGCCCCGAATGGCCCTCTGCATGCGTCTCCTCAACCTAGCCCAGGGTGGGCTGGACACAGAGAATTGGCCCAGCCTGCCTTCCTGCCCTGCCCTCTGTCCCGAGGCCCTCAGGGTCTGGGGTCTCCCCTCCCTGTCTGAGACATCTATAGCAATGGGTGTTGGGGGCTTCTCCGAGTGCTTGGAAGCCAGGTGCGTGCGGCTAGGTCCAGTTATGAAGACACTTGTACTCCCCAGAAGGTCACTTTGGACCAGAGCCACCATTCTCAGTGCTGAGAGCTCCCCAGTTTCTTCTTGAGGGCCTCGGGTCAGTAGCGAGAGGCCCTGCAGCTTGCTCAAGGGCAGAAGGCAAAGGGAGAGGACACTGGGAGAGGCCAGGCCAGCCCTGAGGGGGACATCCGGGTGGGTCTGCTCACCTCTGCTGTTTTTCTTAGGATTTCCTAAGGAAGGAATTCAGTGAAGAGAACATTTTATTCTGGCAGGCCTGTGAATACTTCAACCATGTTCCTGCACATGACAAGAAGGAGGTGGGTCTGCAGGCCAGGGCTTCACAAGGGTGGCTCCAAGGGCTAGCTCGGGCCTGGCCCGAGCTGCTGAGGAAGGAATGTTTTCACAAGAGCTGAAGAAAGCCACTTTTTTTTCTGAATGAGATTTTAAGTATGTGTGATTTTTAATTTGCCTAAACACGGTTTGCACAAATGCCTTGAGCTGCAAGCTCTGCCACAGACTTTGTGCACCCCACATGTTGCAAAGGGCATGGTTTAAAAGGGAACTTGAAGAGACACTTGGGACAGTGCCTTGGCAACCTTTTCTATGTGGGTGAGGATTGCCCTCACTCAGGGGCCTTGTGTCTGCTCCTGACTCTCTCCTGTTCCCACTGTGCCAGGGTATCCTGGATGACTCCCACTTGCCATCCTTGGGGTGAGGGTCCCTCCCAGGGGAGCTGCTGAGTCTTGGCACCCTGAGCACAGCCACTCGAAGCTTACAGGGAATGTGTTCTGTGGTTCTCACTGGTCTGCCTTTATTCACTGCCTCAGGCAGAAATACTGGTTGGGGCCCATGAGCATGGGTCTTGGTCCCAGGGCTCCTGTGGCCTCAGGAGTACTGCAGGGAAATGGTGGGAGGCCTGGGGAGCGCCATGCTCCTGCTCAGGCTCTGTGCCATCTCAGCTTTCCCACAGGGCCCGGGAGATTTTCAGTAAATTCCTGTGCAGCAAAGCCACCACCCCTGTCAACATCGACAGCCAGGCACAGCTAGCCGACGATATTCTCAACGCACCTCACCCAGACATGTTCAAGGAGCAGCAGCTCCAGGTGATGTCGCGGGGCCCTGTCCAGGAATCCCAGCCAGAATCCCAGCCAGGCCAGAGGCAGGAGCCGCAGCTCTCGCCAGGGAGCTGCTGACAGGCCTGGGTATGGGTGGGTAGCTTTGACCCCAGGGGAATTCAGGTGAAAGTGGCTGGTTTCGTTTGGGCTAAAGTAAGAAGCTTGCACCACAGAGGCCTGGCGCTTGTGCCTAGGCGTGTGTGCATGCACAGGGAATCACGTGCTCCGGGCTGATGCATCCAGACACCCCTTGACTGAGGGCAGGGTCGAGGCCCGGTGAACCCGTGTGGGTGAAAACCACCAGTGCACCCCACCTACCCAACACCTGTGCTCGGCCACCTGGTACACCATGGATCCTTGGTGTCAACCTGTGTTGGTGGGGGCAGAGTGGGTGCTGCAGCTTGCTGCTGCCACCCAGTGTTCAAGAGAGGACCACACTGCAGGCACTCAACCAGGGGCGGATCCAGACTGGAAGTAGGCAGCTTGAGCCCACCTTACTGGAACACAGCTCACCTGGCATCATCACGAAGGCAAAGCGTCACCAGCCAGGGGCTGTCTGTTGGCCTTGGTTTAATTTTGGGAGAGTATGTGATGAGACCAGGGCTACCCAGCTGTATGCTCCACTGCCCCTGCCGGAGGCTGTGCTGTGGGTTCGCCAGAGTGACATCCTGACTAGAAGGAAGCAGGTCCTCTCCAGGCAGCTCTCCCTCTGTGGGATCCCCAGCTGCTGGCTTCACATGGCTTGTTTCAGAGGGAGGAAGGAAAAGCTGTCTTGTGAAGAGAGAGAGTGAGCTCTGCAGGAGTGCAGGAGAATCAGCCTGGATACCCTCGGGCCCGCGGGGTTGGGCTAAGATGCTATCCTTCCTGAACAGGGCCAGGTGGTGGGTGTAAACCCGTGGCCACCTGGGACCTGGTCAGAGACGAGTATTCAGTTCCTCCTTTAACTGTGTGGCATTGCATTTGCTCCCAGATTTTCAACCTGATGAAGTTTGATAGCTACACTCGCTTTCTGAAATCCCAGCTGTATCAAGAGTGCATCCTGGCTGAGGTGGAAGGCCGTGCCCTCCCAGACTCACAGCAGGTTCCCAGCAGCCCTGCCTCTAAGCACAGCATCAGCTCCGACCACTCCAGCGTGTCCACTCCAAAAAAGGTGCTGGGGCCAGCCTCAAGCCACGGGCGCATACCTGTGAGGGGCTGTTGCATAGGTAGTGGGAGTGAGGCTGTGCCTGCCTGTCCCTTCACCAGCTGGAGACGTGGTGATGCTGCGATGGTGCGAGGACTGCCCCTTGACCTGCAGAGATGTAGATGTTTCCACAGAGTCCTTAGGCTTACAGCTCAGGCTTCAGCCCCTTTTGCACTTCATGTAATATTAAAATAACTCCGCATTGTTTTAACTGAAGTTTCCATTTGCTGACAGTTAAGTGGGAAGTCAAAATCAGGAAGATCCCTGAATGAAGACGTGGGGGACGAGGACAGTGAGAAGAAACGGAAAGGGGCCTTTTTCTCTTGGTCAAGGAATAGGAGCACTGGGCGGTCCCAGAAGAGGAAGGAGCATGGGGACCATGCCAACGGTGTGTGCACGTCCAGAGGGCCTGCAGCTGCTGTCCCGGGGATGCAGCCCTTGTGTCCCACAGTGAGAGGCCAGGGTGGGGGTGCATGCCTGGGAAGGGGCCAGACAGGGAAGCAGGCCAGCTCTGGAACTTCCCCACTTCTGTGTCCCTCTCCTGCTGCTTCTTGCTGTCAAAGTGAGAGGTGTTTGTTAGAAAATTTGGGAAAGATCATCAAGTAAGAAGAGAAGACAAGTGTGCCATCGTTTGTTCACCCAGGGGCAGTTGGCTCTCTGCCCAGGTCTCTTTTAAGCGTGTGCTCCCATGCGCCTTCTCCGTGTGTTAGAGATGTGAGGCTATTTAGGTGTCTGAAGCATGTCCCAGGCATGGCTCTTGGTTATTGTAGACCTTATAGAAGCTTGCCCATTCCAGATGCTTTTACCTTTGACTTTTCTGATACTGATGAGAGTCCTGTGGTGACTGGAGGGTGAAAGGCAGGCTCATTAGTGCTCAGCCGCCTCAGAAGCCCAGGCTGCTGCTGGCTGCTGGCTACGCTGTGTCCCTAATGCCATGGGCCGGCCGGCTGGGAGCATACATGCTGCAGGCACAGAGAGGTAGAACCGTCGATTCCGGGTAGTGAGGAGGCCGAGGGAGCTGGGAGGACTCTCTTCCCTGGAGGTTTTAGAGAAACATCATTTTTCAGAGATGAGGATCCGGCCTGAAGGAATGGGGCTGACACTAAGCATTTGGTCCCTTAGTTTAAACTGGGCAGTAAACACTACGAGTGACCCCAAGAACAAGACAGGGTGCCCAAGGGAGACAAGCAGGAGGCCCCGACCTCCACAGCTGTGCCAAGGGGCTGGTGCACTCGCTGCCTCTTCCCTCAGAGCAGCTGCTGGAGCTACCCTCACTCCTGTCCTTTGGGAGACCCTAGCAGGTGGGGGCCTGGCCAGCCCCAAGCTCTGGTCATGCTGGCAGGTGGTCTTTTCAAAGCAAAGGCAGTGAGACCTCAGCAAGGGGCCACCTGTGGGACGGATGCTGTCATTAGGTGGGGCTGGGGCTCCCGAGTTCCTGGGAGATGGGGAGTGTGGGCCCCATAGAGTGCATTGCACACCTGGCAAGGCCCATAGAACCATCTGGAAAGGTCTTTTAAAATCCCGATGGCTGGCACTCCCCAGAGTTCAGATGTTCCAGTTCAGCCTCAACAGGGCCTGGACAGAGCCTGGAAGTCCACTTTGGGGTGGGCCAATGGCTAGGAGGTCACTGGGACCTGCTGTTTTACTGATTTCTAGCCCTGACCACCCCCAGCCTGACTCAGGAGTAGGCCCAGGTTTTAGAAGTCCTCTCTGTCCAGTTATCTGGTGCACAGGTTAGCCTAAGAGATCGTCAGTGCTGTTAGCCATGGTCCATTCTTGGCTCTGTAGGACTTTGCAGAAGATGTGGACTGATCACTGATAAGAAGTGGCCATCAGCTAACTATCTTCTCTTGTCCATGGGACTTTTATGTAGGCCCAGGAATGGCCCTTTGAGAGCTGCCTATGTCTGCATGTGACTGAAGACACACAGCCTCTCTGTGGGGCACCTGCCATGACTGGGGTGTGAGCTTGGAGCACACAGGGCGGTGCAGGGCACAGGGCACAGGGGTGATCCGGCACAGCTCGGGGGCTGTGTCAGCCCAGGCTTTTGCCTCTGTGAGCAGGAAGTGCTGGTGTTCCTTTCTGTCCTGTCACCTGTTCAGCCCATGGGCAGCAGGTGGGGGTGGGGTTTCTGTGTGTAGTGAGGAGGACACACCTGTGGCTTTGGGCTCATCTGAGTCTGTTTCCCTCATCAAGATTCCCCTCATGCCAATGGAGGCCTGTGCCGCCGTGAGTCCCAGGGCTCTGTGTCGTCGTCAGGGAGCCTGGACCTGGTGAGTTACCACCTCCCCTCGCCTCAGGGACACAGGCTGTACCCACCAGCTGATGGATGAAGTGTGTCTCATGAAAAGCCCAGGGATCACTTCACAAGCTGGGCACATGGCAGCAAAGAGCAGCTCTCCCAACCCCGGGTTCCTGGGTTCTGGAGGCAGAGTGGAAAACTATTTGGTAGGTGGGGAGGGGTGCTTCTGAAGGACTAAGTTAGTGTTGGTTTTATTTCTTAAACCCTTTGTTCTAACTTAGTTCACATTTGTTGAACCCCTACGTGGAGCAAACGAGCTGCTTTGAACCCAGGTGCCCTGCCGCCATCCTGTTAACTCCAGCATGCCTGTCTGTACCGCTGCCTGCAGGGTCTCCAGTGCTTCTGCTCCCCCAGCCCACCCAGGGAGCCAGGCACAGCCGGTGACCCCCACTCTAGCTGTCTCTCACTCTCTGCTTCTGTGCTCCTTCTGGCCCCGGGTTCCAGTGTGGAAGGCGCTGGTTGCATGGGTTAGGATCTGCTAGCTTCTTAGCTTCTGTCTGACAAGAATTTTGGGAAACCTTATTGGTTGCCGCATCCTGCCATTCAAAATTGTCAAGTGGAATTAATTAATGTAGACTGTCATTTCTTCTTCAGTTACACTAAGTACTATTTAAGGGGTTTCCAGCCCTTAGTTAACTGTTGCTGCCACCTGGATAGTTCAGAACAAGAATCATTTGTTACTGTGCTGTCTGTGGGTCAGTTGGGTGGTCCTGCTGACTAGGTTTGCCTCATGCGAGTCTCTGGTCCCCTGGCCTGGTGGCTGGTGTCCTCATTCTGACCCTTGGCTGGCCATGGGACTATATGCTCACCATCATCCAGCAGCCAGCCCAGTCTTACTCCTGTGCTATTCCCTTATCAACACTGTGGGGTCTCAGGGACCAAGCGTGAGCCGAGCAGAGCGGCCTCTGGAGGCCTCGACTGGCATTGGTACTGTCAGCCCCATCTGCCAACCCAGGATCCAGGGTGGCCATGCTCCTCCTGGAAACAGCTGAACGGATACAGGGAAGGGCACTGTTCAGAAATGGTCCCAACTGGCCCATTTTCTGAAATAGTGCCTTGGTGAAAGGGACTCTGAGGCCTTGAGGCAGAGCTGGTGATGATGAAGTGGCATCAGGCCAGCAGAAGGACGCCTGCAGGGCACTGCTGATGCAGAGGGTCTGAGAGACCTGGGAGGGCCAGTGCCATGCTCAGGTGGCCTGTCCTCATTGCTTTGGTACCATGAGCTGCCATGTGGCTGTCTGCTTCCTGGTCAGGATGAGATGTGGCCAGTGACCCTAGCTATGTGGGGCTCTGTGTCCGCACAGGACAGTCTTGCTTAGATTGACAGCCTGTAAAGTGCATTGCCCGTGTTCTGAGAGGTGGGTGCCCTTCCTTCCCAGTGATCAGAAAACCCAGTAACAGTGGGGTTGATCTTGGGGATTGCATGTGGGACAGACAGCTTGTTGGGTCCCTAAGCCAGGCTGGGATCAGCTCCAGGAGGTTCCGCCTACACCTGTGACTGACTTGCCTGTTCCCTGCCCCGTAGGCAGAGACCAGCAGGACCTCTGCACCTGAGAGAGACAAGGCTGCCAAGCACTGTCGTGTCCACCTCCCGGACGGGACGTCCTGTGCCGTGGCCGTCAAGGCAGGGTTCTCCATCAAAGAGGTCCTGGCTGGACTCTGTGAGCGACATGGCATCAACGGGGCTGCTGTGGACCTCTTCCTGGTGGGCGGGGACAAGGTACAGGCCATGTGGACCTGCCAATGGGCTCCTCTAAGTGCGTTTGGCTGTCTGGTTTCTCTGTGTTGGGTGGGCTTGCTGGGAGTGGCTGCGTGTGACATGGGGCTGGCACCTGGAGAGGGACAGCCTTCGCTGTGCAGGGCTATTTCGAAGCTGCCCTTTCGTTCTGCACAGCTGTGTGCTCCCCTCTAACTGTGGTCTCTTTGTTCCAAGCCACTGGTGCTGCATCAGGACAGCAGCATCTTAGCCTCGAGGGACCTGCGCCTAGAAAAGCGTACTTTGTTTCGGTAAGAGAATGATGCATGTGCCATTTGGAGAGTCCTCTGGTTTTCAGGACTTTCCCCACATTGCCAGCCGTGCTGCTGGCCTGGGCTCTCCCCCAGTGGATGTGCGGTTGTCCTGTGACAGGCCGTGAGGACCGGCAGGTGCTGACGATGGCGGGTGGGATGCAGGTGTCCTGCAGATGGGCTGCTCTGGCCCTAAGACCGCAGAGGGCAAGGGAGGCAGGCACTCTCTGCCTGGTGGGCGTGTGAGGTGGCCAGACTGCACCGCAAGCTCTGGATGTCTGTGCAGGACGAGTTCTGTGACCCCTGCTCAGCCCAGCTCCACAAACCAGAAAGAACTGGGCTCCTGCATGGAGGAAGGTGCTTACAGCAGGCTGGGCCAGTGGCTGGGCCTGCCACACTGTCGTGGTTCTGCACTGGTGCTCCCGAGGTCTCCCAGCAGGCATGGGTATGAGTGCTTTATGAGTGTTTTCATGCTCCCTCCCCAGGCTGGATCTCGTTCCAATTAACCGGTCGGTGGGACTCAAGGCCAAGCCCACCAAGCCTGTCACAGAGGTGCTGCGGCCAGTGGTGGCCAAGTATGGCCTGGACCTTGGCAGCCTGCTGGTGAGGCTGGTGAGTGTGGCCTGCTGTGGCCTCCGGGGCTTGCTCCTTGGGGACGAGGGCAGAGCAGCATGACTCGCCTCAGCACTGTCTTCCCTGGTCAGGGGACCGTGCCCTGTGCTGCTCTCACTGAGTGGAGATGCCTGTTGTTTATTTGTGCCGTGGTCATTTTGGAAAGGTCTATTATTTGCCCTGTGGTCTTGCTCCTGGAAACCATAATGAGAGGGACACGCACACAACCATGTGCAGATTTGCCAGAAAGCAGAGCCCTCCCACCCCACCCAGCTGCTAGGCCAGCCCTCTGCTAGGCCTCAGCGCACTGTCCCAGTTCCCAACTGCCCCTTATAGACAGGAAAAGGTCCACCCGCCCCATTGTCGTGTGAACGAGGTTAGGGAGAGGAACACTGGGCAGCAGGATAGCAGTGCCCCTTCCCCAGCCCACACCAGTCCTGTCCCCATGGGCACTTACTGGCCAGCAGCGGAGTCAGCTGTCTGGCTGTGCGGTGCTGTGTTGGCTGAGTGCTGTGGTGTGGAGTCTGCCTCTGTCTTTCAGGCAGTCAGTACAGGGCAGGCTGCAGCTGGAGCTTGGGGGCCACAGGGCACTGGCCAGCCCCTCCCGAGCCCATAGTCAGCCCCAACATGCATTTGATACTCTCCATGCTCTCCTGACTGAGGGGAGTTGAAAGTGCCGAACTTTAAGCTCAAGTGTTCTTTTTTAAGCAGGGGTTTTGGTGAAGGAAAAGAGCTCTGGCCAGAGACAAGAGTTGGGGTCTGTGGAGTCGGAGCTGCTCCTGTGGTTGCTTGTTGCTCTCTGCTTTGCAGTGAGCACATGCTGCTTTCGGCATCTCTCAGGACGGTGTGTGGGACGGGCCGAGTGGTTCTAGTCACGTGGAGGCTGTGAGTCGTATTGAGACCTAGGCCAACTGAGATCAATAGCCGAGAGTGGTTTTTGAGTACTGGCAAACCTTCAGCTGCGGAAGGAGGTGTTCCAGCATGCACCAGGGGTCTCCAGTCTCCCCTCTAGTGACTGGTGGGCAGAGCCACATGCCAGCTCCTTGGGTACTGCACTTCCATTTTCACCCTGGCAGACAGCCCTGACCCCAGGGCCAGCTGGCGTGAGAGGCGGTCAAGAAGCAACTATCCCAGAAGCTCCGATCTGAGTAAATAATTCAATGCACCATTTCTGCCTTTAGAATGGAGAGAAGGAGCCCCTGGACCTTGGTGCCCCCATATCGAGTCTGGATGGACAGAGAGTTGTCCTAGAGGAAAAGGACCCTTCCCGAGGAAAAGGTGAGCACAGGCAGCAAATCACCAGCCTGCTGGGCCCAGCCCACCGCCCAGCTGCTGAGCAGCTGTGGTCTCTTAATGCTACCCCTGATGGTGTGCATTGGGGCTGAGGACCTCCTGAGGACCAGCGGACCTCCTGAGGGCCTGTTGACCCCAACATGGCAGAGGACCCTTAATGCAGCATTTCTCATACGGAGACTGCTTCAGCCCTGCGTGGAGGAGGAGCAGGACCAGCAGAAGGAGGCCCAGTTGCCTGGGGTGCATCTTCTCAGCTATAGGAAGGGGTGGCAGCCCCTGCCCCCATGCTCATGTGTCAGAGCACTGTAGCTAGAAAGTACTAGAAGGTGCTCTCTTCCTGGGAGGCCTTAGTCACTCCAAAACAGGAATGCCGAGGGCCATGCAACCTGGTCTGGGCCCCTTGGTCCTTCACCTAGTGCCCTGATCTGGGGCCTGTCCCTCTGGCCCTATCCAGCAGGGGCTGAGGCTGGCTCTCCTGGCTTGTCCTACTGTGATGGCCCATATGTGCCATGAGGCAGGTGTTCACAGAGCTCTCCCATTGGCACCTCAATGCCAAAGGCCTCTCTGTCCAGACACCTCAGGAGTCTGCACCCTTTTGGAAAACTGAGGAGTCCTCAAGGAAAGCTACTTAGTCCAGGAGGGGAAGGCCTGCTTGTAGCTGCTGCAGGCAGAGGTGTGGCCCAAAGGACTGTCCAAATGCAGGGATAGCAGGGAGCCTGTCTCCTGGGGAACTTTCTAAAAACTACGGATGCTCATCTGTGTGGAGCAGTTTGCTTTATACACAGCTATTTCACGCAACTGGCCGTGCCTTCCTCTCTGGGGCTTGGGCCTAGGTGACTCCCACAAGGTGGGTCACACGGGGCCTGGTGCAGGGCACTTGTTCCTGTCCCACTCGCACTTCCTTGCCCTGAGCTCTAGAGAGTGTCATGTCCCTGCCCCAGCCCTGGAGCCAGGTGGGCTGAGTGCTGTGTGCAGCCCCCGTAGGGCGGCCACCAGCCTTGCCTGGCAGGTTCTGCGCCTCCCTCCAGGGCTAGGCACTGTGGGGCCTGTGGCATCTGCACAGCCGAGCCTCTGGGGAGTCGTGTGCTCATGAGGCTGAGCAGGGAGCAAGAGAGCAGTGTTCCAGGGGCACTGGGGCCATGCCCAGTGTCACCGTCTGCCCACCACTCCTGTGTTAAGAGTGTGCATGCCAAATGGCATACAAAATGAGGTTTCAACACTACTCTTCCTGAAGTCCCCTGTTAAATTCGCAGAGAAGCCGTGCGGCGCCCTCACCCAGCAGCAGCGGGAGGTGGTGGGTCTCTGGCTTTAGCTACTGGTTAGATGAGGGGTATGAGTGCCTTTTGGCCTCTGCAGCTTTGGTGTGGAGGGTGCAGCCCAACACTCACCTCTTACCTTCAGCGCCCGCAGATAAGCAGAAAGGTGTGCCCAGCCGAGGGAGCACGGCAGTGAACTCCAGCCCCAGAAACCACGCGGCTATGGTAATTCCCCACACGCTCGGCCCTGCAGCCCCCGCCCCTCTCAGAGGGGCAGCTCTTAGCTCCCACCCCACTGCCATGGCACCTGGCCCCTCCTCTCCCCAACAAGCCCCCTTGTCACCCATTAACCTGGCGGAGGCTCTGTGCGCAGGGTTGGCACCACACCTGGGGGTCTCCCCCTGGCCCTGCCGGGCCTGGCTCCGCCCCTGTGAACAGCAGGCTGGGTTTCCCCTCCTGTGGTGGGTGGCTGGGCCTCACTGCTTCTCGTTCTGTGACCTGCCCTTGCCCTTGGTCTTCGGTGGTGCGTGCAGCTCCGCCCCAGCGCACCGCGTCCCTCCGAGCCTTTACCTTATGCCTGGTGAATGATGTGTTGTCATGTGTTGGAATGTGAGTAGAACTTTGACTTTCCTTCTAATGCAGGGAGAGGAAAGAACACTAGGCAAGTCTAATTCTATTAAAATAAAAGGAGAAAATGGAAAAAATGCTAGGGATCCCCGGCTTTCAAAGAGAGAAGAATCTATTGCAAAGATTGGGAAAAAAAAATATCAGAAAATTAATTTGGACGAAGCAGAGGGTATGTGTACTTTTTAAAACTTGCACGTTTTTTAGTAAATGCACTACCAGTTTCTAGTACAGTCACCAAGCCCACTCTGCCCTGTCCACAGCTGGTGACTGCAGACCTGTCACACTGAGGCTTGTGCTATGACTTTGCTGAAACCCCAGTTTTCAGGCTGAGAGCTAGGCCTCCCGTGGAGTCAGGGGGCCCTGCTGTGCCCAGCAGCACCGACTGCGCTGCAGCCTGCTCCCCCACAGCCTGACCCCTGACACGAACCAGGGCCCTATCTCGGGTGGTGGAAAGTTGGCATCAGGGGGCCATGTCACTGAGGGTCACCAGGCAGAACTGGATGCCAGTGAAAGGGAGGTGGGGGTGCCAGTTGGGAGGGCCATGGGCTTGCTGACCTCTGTTGGCCAGTGGAGGCCCTGAAGAAGGCAGCCCACCCCACCCTGGGCCTCCAGGAGAGGTGCAGGCGACCCCTGAAGACAGACTGGGAGATGAGAGCCCTGGTGGACCTTGTTTTTATTCCCAAAGCTCCTAACAAAGGGAATCACGGACAGCGGACCAGCACTGCTGTTGGGACCTGAATCGTAGTCCAGGGAGTCCTTGCTAGTCAGCTGGCTCGTCCCAGCTTTCTGTGAGTCCAACCTCACAGTAAGAAAGCAAAAACAGGACTCCTTCGGCCTCCGTGGCCACCAGGCAGAAGACACACACCCTTTGAATGTGTGCATTTCTGAGAATTATGGAAATGTGGAATTTTAAAAGATGTCTTAAGGTTTACAAATGCAGAGTATAATTTAAGTACTAGAGAAAGCTCAGTTCAGAAATCCCGTTTTTAAAAGGTGAACTTGTGAACTTGAGTTACAGTGAAAATCCAGCCCGACAAAGAAGGGTCTGTGGACCCAGTGACTAAGCCAGGACTTCCACAGAGGCAGGGCAGGTGCAAGGCCCAGGGCACCCGTCTGCCCCGAGCCAGCTTTGGGCAGGACAACCCTTCTCTCCCACGGCTTAGGAGCACTACCCTCTGCCCAGAGGTGGTGACCCTGAGTGGCAGGCGATTTGAGGGCCATCCATCCCAGCCACCCCACTGGCTGTCCCACTCTTGGTCCGGGGGTTCAGCTGTAGCTGGGGCCTCTTGCTCTGTCGTGCCTTCGTCTGGCCATCACTTCTACCTTGTCCTCAAAAAGGAGCTGGGCGCAGGTGTCAAAGGGCCCTGGACGTTAGCCAGAGACCCACAGCCAGGGCAGCACTGGCTGCCCTCCTCCACGACATACGCGGGAAGCGCAGGCTCTGTGTGCTCAGGCCCGGTGCATAGCTTGGTCCTCAGGGTATGGAGCTGCCTCCACATCCTGAGAAGGGCTCTGCTGCCAGCCGGGCCTCAGCCTCAGTCCTGTGAGGAGGCAGCACTGCGCGCTGGCCTGCCTCGGCCTGCAGCGCCCTTGTGGGTGTGCTGTGCTGTGGCATGCTTCCGGGGAACCTCTCTAAAGAGGGCCAATGTGGATTTTCTTCCAATAGAGTTTTTTGAGCTCATTTCCAAAGCTCAGAGCAACCGAGCAGATGACCAGCGTGGGCTGCTGAGGAAGGAAGACCTGGTGTTGCCCGAGTTCCTTCGCTTGCCTACTGGTTCTGCAGAGCTCGCCCTCTCCACCTCGGCCCCGGCCAAAGGCTTTAGCAAGAGACCCGTGGCGGGCTGTGGCCAGGAGCGAGCAGTCCAGCCTTCTGGGAGCTGGGAACCAGCCCAGGACTGCAGCGACAGCCCAGCCACCAGCCCTGGCTCTGCCCAGAGCCCCAGCTCCACCCACAGCCCTGGCTCCGCCCACAGCCCCCCTGGGGTCCCTGGGACTACTGCACCTGGACAGAATACTCCTGGAGAGCCCTTCTGTGCCCCCCAGGGGCAGGAGGGCACTACGCAGATCTGGAGGAGGCAGTCAAGGGACGTAGAGGCTGGGGACATCCAGACCGTGGAGGATGAGCATGTGGCTGACCTGACCCTAATGGGGGAGGGGGACATCAGCAGCCCCAACAGCACACTGCTGCCTCCATCCCCCAGTCCCCAGGACACACCCGGACCTCCAAGACCAGGTACCTCCAGGTTCTGACCCCTGCACCCTGGTGCCATCCTGCTTGCTCCCCCCCCATGGTTCACTCGAGTGTTCAATAAAAGGGAACAGCCGTGGTACGCGGCCCTCATTTAATGAGATGCTCCGTGGGGCAGCCCTCTCCTCATGGTTTTGCCTTCTGAAAGGAGACACTGGGGCAGCAGTCGAGGTCCGCACTTGACAGGGTGGTCACTGAAGGGTACATAGTCCCTCTGCTCTGCAAAGGTGCCATGGGAGCAGCAACCCAGGTTCAGTGACACCCTGAGCAGGGCTGGGACTTCTGTTAGTAAAACCTGCAGAGCTGGCGTTTTTAGTGTTTCAGTTTCAAGATTAAAAAAAAAAAAAAAAAAAGTATTGACCTTGAGCCAGAGAGCAAAGGCCCCGTGGCTCACAGGAGGACCAGGGCTCTGATAAGCTTTCAGTGGGCAGGCCGGACACCCACCAGTCCCCTGAGCCAGTTGGCCCAGGCGCCCTGCTTCATGGCGTTGGCCACCCTCCCGCAGCCGGCTGTACCTCAAGGGAGGCGTGGGCTGGAGTGTGGAGGTGAGCAGCTCGGCCTGCTGACTCACGCCCCACAGCTGCCAGGACCAGGCTGGAGCCGGCAGGGGGTGGGCCCGGGCCTGGCGACATGTGCTCACCACGCCCAGCGCCTCGACCGTGGCCTGTCCTGGGTTCCCGCGCCCCAGGCTGGGTACCCAGGATCAGGTCTGCCAACTCCATGGGCGCCCGGGGCAGTCTTCATGTGTGTCCCTTCTCCACACAGCCCGGTGCTCAGGAGGGCCGCGCGCTGTGGGCTGGGCTTCACGACGCCTCGGGCGCCAGCTGTCCTTCTGCTCTTCTGTCTGTCTGCAGTCCACCTGTGTCTCCTCTTCCAGGAGCAATAAACTCGAGATCTCTTGTCTGGTCTGGCTTACAGTTCCTTTCTTCTTTATTTGAAAATGTGCTTCCACTTTAGAAAACGGCAGAGGTAGTTTAATCTAGGGAAAGTATTACACATTTTGAGACATTAGTGGATTGACCTCAGCAGACTAGCTTTTAAAAGATACCATTCACTGAACAAAATTCCTGAGCATCTCACATGTGCCTGCGAACACAGCCTGGTGACGGGTTTGAGTGGGCTTGAAAGTGAGGAGGAGCCTGGTGGGCAGGGTTCCTCTGCCAGAGAGCCCCGTCTCCACCTCTGCCTCTGGCCCTCCTTGCCTGGGGGATGGGGAGGCTGAAGTCGTCCAGTTTGTTCCAGAAGCCAGACCCACCCCCAACTGAATGTGGAGCCTCTTCCCTCCTCTCACACCTTAGCCCCTGGCCTGGCTGCTGGGCTGCCTCTGCGCAGGACCAGAGCACGTGGTTTTCCCACTACACAGGGCCGTTGGCCTGGGCAGCGGTGCAGCATGGTGCCTGGCCAGACGGCTGCTGCTGGCTTATCCCTGGCATTTCATGGCAGAGGGCGATGGTGGTACAGTCGTGTAGAGGGTGAGTCCCCAGCACCCCGGGAGAGAGGAACCCAGGGTGATCCTCTGGCTCTGTCCTGGACATGGCAACGGCAGGAGAGGAAGTGTGGGACTTTGGCCACAGTACAGAGGTCTGTAGCTCCCACCAGCCTGTCCGAGGGTTGCTGGACAGTTGTAGGCATTGATGGCCTGCCTAGTCTTCCTGGAGGCAATGACCCTGGTCTGCAGGGCCTAGGGGTGCTGGGGCTAGACTCCTCTGTGGGAGAATGCCCTGCACAGAAGCCTGTCCCTGTGGTGAAGGAAGCCCAGTGTCCTCAGCCTCCCGATGGGGCGTTCCTCGCTAATTTTGCCAGGTCAGTGGGGGAGGTCGCAGAAAGGCCAAAGAAAGTGCCAGGGACAGCATGGGACATGTATGATTTGCCAGGGAAAGCTTACAAGAGACCAGTGACTGCTCCAGGAGTTCAGTGGGACAGGCTGACAGCCCCGTGTCCCTCACAGAGCTTCACCAGGCAGCCTCCTCTCCCTCCCTGTTGTTGGTAGCTGGCTGGACAAGTGGCATGTGCCCTCTCCACATGCCCTCAGCCCCACGCCCGGCCTCACTCGGGGAGGGAGGTGCAGAAGCAGTGACGTCATAGCACGCGCCTGGCAGTGTGCGCTTCTAGCCAGCACCCCAGGAGCGGCTGGGCATGTGAGACGTCGCTCTCTGGATGGCACTCCTTTGCCCTAGTTCCTGTACACAGAGAAAGCCACGTCCTTCAAGATGACATGTGTCCTGCCCTTATTTTCCTTAACTTGACTGGGTTTGGAGAATGGAAAGGGGCCTGCAGGGACGTGCTGTTGTGCTGTCTTCTCAGGGACAATGCAGGCACCTTACTTGCGAGCAGCATGAGTCTGCTCGCCGCTCTGACTCCATTGCTCAGGTCTAGAGGTCCAGGCTCCACCGGGTGCCCTCACTGATTCTAACTGCTGTGACTCCTCTCAATGACGTGGTGGCCACGATGGACATCCAGGGAGGGAAATACAATGTGGCAGTGTGGCCATGTCCTCAGGACTCCCACCTGACCCTGTCACCAGGGGCAGGCCACCTGCATGAAGACAGGCTTCGCTTCCCCGCACGCGCGTTGCCTGCCAAATAACCCAGGCCCCCTCCTTGCCCCAGGCTCTGCTTGGGCATGTGAGGTGGAGATGTCAAGTGGAAGCCGGGTCGGAGCCCAGCTTGGCACTCCGGGGTACATGGGCTGGTGTGTGTGCACATGGTGTGTCAGCAGAGCATGTGTGTGTGTGTGTGTGTGCGTGCGCACATGCGTGCGCACACCTGTGTGGTGGGCGTGTGTGCCTGGCTGAGTCCCTGTGGCTTTGCGATTTTTTTTGTCTTGACACAGGAAACTCCAAATTACCCGAGTCACCTCACTGTGGGGAAAAGCCAGGAGTGTCCCCTGCTTAGAGGCCCGGCCTTGATCAGCCGTCTTGGGTCCTGCATGGAAGAGCTTTGTTGAGGCATTCACGAGGGCGTGTGGGCCAGGAGCAGAGGGTTGAAGGCCAAGTGCTGGGCAAATCTCAGAAGGCTGCCTTGCTCTTGGTGTTCACGTTGGCTTCTGTGGCACTGTGGCACTTGTGTTGCCTGCGCCCCACTCCAGCCCCACTGTTGCTCTGATTACCCCACCCCACGACCTTCCCATCAGTGTCTGCCTGGTTTCCAGCAAATGCTCCGGGGCTGCTGGGTTGTGTGGCCCAGCTTTTCTGGGCTTATGACCCAAGGCACTTTGACCCAGTGAGATGCAGGTCTGTGGTGGTGGAGGCTGAGTCAGACCCACTGAGGCACCTCTTCCCCGGAGCCCACCCGGCTCCCAGGTTCAACCTCCTTGGGGTCTGGCCCCTCATGGCCACCACCCCACCTGCCCTTCTCTCCCAGCACCTCGGGCCCCAGCAGGGCCCCAGGTCATGTCCCTGAGATCCTGTGGCTAAGCTCCCCACCAGGACTCTCCACGTGGGTACTCACCCCCCAGCAGGGACTAAGGCCTAAGATCAAGGTTCAGGGGTCATGCCCTCATCCTGGGGCTGGAGGTGTGGCCGGGTCCCTCTTTGCCCTCCCCTTGCCTCTGCCTAGACACCTCCCTGGCCCAGCCGCAGCTTCAGGCCTACTGAGGCCCGCGTGAGACGGGCCTGCCTGGCCTCAGCTTTGTCCGGAACTTCTGAGGGAGGCCCTGTCCAGCCACTGTCCCCAGGCGTTGTGTCTCAAGAGGGGCTGGTGGCCCCTGACAGCCACAACACAGCTCAGACCTCACCCTCCCGAGCTGCCACTGGTCTTCAGTGGAAGAGGCGGCCATCTACCAGTCTGCCAAAGCACTTCCTGTACCTGAACTCTGCCCAGTGGCTGCCACAGGACTCTGGGCCCAGGGTCTGCTGGCCCTTCCTCCCTCTATTCTCATGAGCTTCTTCAGCCATGGCCAGGCCTCCTGCCCATTCCAGGGGCTTCCCCATTGATTCTTAGGGCTGACCAACTGGCCCATCCACTGTCCCCAGCCCCTGGCCTGGGTTGTGACAACCTGGTCCCTAGCTGCTCCCACCACATCTCCTCCACCTGCCCTTCAGACGTCCAGGATGATCCCAAAGGGAAAGACCCAAATCTGTGAGTGGCCCACAAAGCCACCTGTCCCACCCCACGTGCTCTCCGGAATAAGCTCTTCCCAACCCTGAAACCTGCCCTCCTCCTCCCCCTCCCCCGGTGGCTCCTGTCTGTAGCCCCTCCCCAGTGTGGGTTTGCTGGGTGCCCCCTCAGCTGCCCCCCCCAGCCCTGTCCACCACACCCTCTAGCTGCAAGCTCACGTGCAGCTGTGGATCTGCCCTGCAAGTTTGCTGAGTGAGCAGCTCTAACCCAGCCCACTGTCACTGTCACCATCCTGGGCTGGGCCTCTGTGGAGGCATGCAGAGAGCTTGGAAGTCCTGAGCCAGAGTAGGGATTTAGTGGCCACTCTCTCCCATGGGGACTGCAGGATCTGGCAGGCCTCAGTGGATGGGTTGCCATGGGAGGGACCCTAGCCTCTGGCTCCCTCTGCTGGCCCTTCCTCCCTCTATTCTCATGAGCTTCTTCAGCCATGCCCAAGGCCTCCTGTCCCTTTTTGGCTGATGGAGATACTTGGGACCGAGGAGGTGTCAGGACTAGTCTGTGCAGATGATTGGGAGCATGGTGGCAGAGTTGGCGGCACTGTCTGGGGGAAGGGAGAGCCCCCTGGGGCAGTGGGATGGGCAGCAGAGCGGGACCCCTGGGAGAACCTGGCGGGTGGAGGGCTCAGCCTACACCCCAAGCCTGCCTGGCCCTGCTGTCTGCTGCTCCTGTGAGGGCCCAGCTGTGGGCCAGGAGCACTGGGCTGGGGCAGGGGTACTTGAGCTCTGCCAGCCCAGGTACAGCCCAGAGCCACAGGCAGCCCACGTGCGGGTGTGCTTGGGCAGGTGAAGAGGGTGCCCCAAGGGTGTGTGTGTGTGGGGGCGCTTCTAGGCTCCTGGGGCAGCTGAGTAGCAGCGACAGGCTGGGTCAGCTCAGGGCAGGGAGACATGCAGGTGGCCTGCAGGCAGGAGGAGAGGTCCTGGGGGCAGTGTCTGGGGGAAGGGAGAGTCGCCTGGGGCAGTGGGATGGGCAGCAGAGCTGCCTTGCTCTGGGCTTTGGGAGTGTGGGGCAGAGGTTCTGAAGGGATTGGCACCAGCAGGCAAGGCCACTTTGGACGTAGCCAGCTGCAAGTGGCCCCTCAAGCCTCACGGGGTCCTGTTGTGCCTGCCTGGGAGCACTAAGGAGCCCAGCAGCCAGCAGGCCCTGGCACCGGCTGGTGGCTGAGTCAGGCAGGGGCTGCTACTGCTTAGGTGGGCAAGCTATGGCTGCCACTCCTTGTGCGCACTTCCTCCGTCCTGCAGAAGCTCCTGTCCTTGCCGACAGGTGTCCTCCCATTCTAGCACAAGGACTGCCCTGGGGTGGAGGGCCTGTCTTCCAGGTGGGCATGAAGGGGAGAGCTGGCCTCCTGCTTTGTGTGGGGACCAGGCCCTCTCAGAGCCCAGCAGTACTCTAGGCAAATGCCATGCCCATCCTGACCCTATAACCCGGCATTTAGATCCTGGGGGCAAGCAGGGGACAGGTGGGGCAAGGCTGGGTCCCAGCTGGCCCTAATGGAGTGTTTATGGGGCTGGCTGGGAGAAGCTTCTGGTCTCTGCCATGCCTCCCTTGGGAGAGCTGGTGCTGGCACGTGTGGAGGCCAGGACGAGGCTCTTCTGCTGCCTCCACTTGTCTGAGAGGACTGGTTGGGCACCTTCAGAGGGACACCACGCCCTCTGCCCACAGGCCAGGACTTGCTCTGTGAGGCCATGTGGAAGCTTCTTCAGAAAGCTTGGGGCTGAGGGTGAGGTGGGGTGCAGGGGTGTGGAGCAACCTGCCAGTACAGACCCTGGAACTGGGGAGGGCTCCCAAGGGCTCACCTGTGGGCAGGAGCCTCCCCCCTTAGATGAGGAGAGGGTCGCTGGGACTTCCTGGGCCCCACCCCATGCAGCGCCCCCCTGCCCGCCTTCTAGGGTGCTCAGTGCAGGGAGCTGATGCCAATCTCAAACTGAGTCACACTCCATGAACACCGTGTCCACTTGCCTGGGGACCCACCCTGGAATGATCACGTCTCCATCCTTGAGGGACAGCCAGATGCCAAAGAGTAGCCCCAGGGTGAGGTGGCTGGCAGGAGGTGGGCCTAGCCAGGGCCTGCAGGGGTTGGGGTAGGAGCCAGACTGGGACCCACTTTGCTGAGCAGCCTGAAAGAGGGGCCTCAGCACGGAAGGGATGATCATGTGGCAGAGGGCAGGGTGGGGGAACGGACAGGCGGCTGGAGGCACTGGGAATGGTCGAGGCCACTCAGGACCAGAGGCGTCTGTGGCGGTGCAGCTGGCCCAAGGCAGCCAGGCCAGTCGACACCCAGATGGCCAGGTGGGGGACAGCTGGAAGCAGGCCGAGGCCCTGCTCCACCCTGGCCTGTGAGCTGCCTCGAGAGTTCCTGCACTGCACTGTGAGGCCCATGGGTGGAGATGGCCCTGGCCTCCCCACCCTGAGAGCAAGCCCTAAGGACAGGCCCCAGGTGGGAGTAGACAGCTAAGGCAAGGTAACAGGGACCTCAGTAGGTGGCCTGGCCCTGTCCTGAGCTGCAGAGGGGTGAGGGAGGCTGGCGGGTGTGAGTCTGGGGGGTGTGATCGGGCAGGCAAGGCAGTTCGGGGGCTTCTCGTGGACACAACTTTCCCACTCTGCTGCAAGAGGTTGATTAGACCCAGGGCACGGCCACCTCTGTGTCATCCCGGAGCCCTTTCTGCCACAGCAGCCCACATTGGTGTTTTCACCTCTCCCCACTTACAGCCCTGGTAGCAGGCAGTGTGGCAAGGAGGGCATCAAGCACACCGCGAGAATGAGGTGGCGCCATGGAAGGTGCCCAAGGCAGAGCAAACCATGGCCACCCAGCAACATGGGCAGGGTGCAGGGGTGCAGACTGCAGGAAAGGGCCCCATGTGGCCTGGCACAGACGAGGGTGGGGTACAGGTGTTGGAAAGTCCTGTGACAGACGGGAGGCCATGGCAAGGACTGCCCAGGGTCCCCGCAGCACTGGGGCCTCACTCCAGACCAGCCTCATGGTCATGGCTTCTTGGCCGGCTGCTCTGCACAGTGCTGTCTGCAAGGGCACCAACCTCACTGTCAGCAGGGCCTGTGGGTGTCGAGGCTGGGGACAGAGTGCCGGCAGGTGGCACCTGCAGACCAACCTGGCACTGGGGATAGTTAGCTCCTGCCCCTGGCCCAGAGGCCCATGATTGGAGGTCCCCTGCCCCTGGGGTGGCTCTGAGGGGATCTGTGTCTGTGCAGGGCCATCGGCAAGTCCTGAAAGCCTAGGGCTGGTCCAGGCAGGTGACAGCCTCTCTCCTCCCTGTGACAGGAGGCAGGGCCCGTGGCAGCCGAGGCCTCCCGGTCAACAGGACCATCGATGTGGACCTCGTCACTGGTGTGGCGGCCAGGCTAGGCGGTGACGTGCTGGGGGCGAGGGTTGGTGGGCCCCTGATGTCAGGACGCCCTGGCCTGAGCCCCGTCCCAGGTGAGCCGGCCAAGCCCCCGGCTAGCACACACCGGGCCACCTATGTCTGAAGCTGCTCCTGGTCCCGTGCAAGCTACCCTGCCCTGACCTCCACACACGTGGACACCACCCGGCCCAGGACCTCTCAGGGGCACCTGGAGCGTGTGCCCCTCAGCCACTACACCCTCAGGAGCCAAACGGGGAGAAGGCGGGACCACCTCGTCGCAGGGCCTGGCCTCAGACACCTGCCACCAGCCCCGTGCTGCCCTCTGCCTCAGACTCTTCCCAATAAAGCATTTTGAAGACCTGCCACGTGTCGGCTTCATGCTGAGTGCTGGGGACAGAGGTGCTGAGCTCGGGGAGCCCTCGTTCCTGTGGGACTCCAGAAGCGTACGCAGGAGATGTCTAGGAGGTGACAGAGGGCCCCAGAAGACGGTGCCTGGCAGTGAGGAGCAGAAGGCCCTCCTGCCCTCTGATGTGCAGAGAACAGAGGTCACCTCGGGCTCCAGGTGGAGCCTGTGGCACTGAGGGGCAGCCTTCCCACATCAAGTTCCCTGCCCTCTGCGTGCCCCACTGCCCGATCCAGGGTCTTTTGTGTCTGTCCCTCCCTCCCCTCTTTAGGGTGACTGCTGGTGGAGCCAGGGCTCTTGTGGGAGCTGTGCTCAGCTGACCACTGAGGTCCCTTTCTTGGCACTGCCCCCACCATGGCACAGCAGGGACCCTGTAGCTGCAGGCCCAGTCTCCTGCCCTTAGATGCACTTGGAGGGTGCCCAGAGAGGGCTGTGGGGAGCCAGCTGAGCTGACGCCTGCCTGCAGAGGAGGCTGGACAGTGCCGGGCAAATGGGGAGGCCAAGGCCGCAGTGAGTCTGGTCGGAATCGAGACCCTGTGTGGCAGGAGCCCAGGGAGGAGGGAGGGCCAGCCACAGGGAGGAGTCAGCAAATCCGAGAGGCGCAGTGCCCTGGACCCGGGTCGCTCAGTGGGAGCCCCGAGGCCCGTCCTGCACACCATGCCAGAGCTGGGCGATTGTACCGGCGCCTGAGAGCTCCCAGCAAGGCCTCTTGAGTGGTTCTGGGTGTTTCCAGGGAGTGGCTCCCAGTGGACAGCACTCTGGGCAGGGGTCCAGGGGAGGCATCAGAATAGAAGGCGAGAGCCTGGCACTTGCTGTCCCCCATCCACTGTGCCAGGCTGGGTCTCACCAGTGTTCGTTCTTCCCTCGGCACAGATGGGAAAATGGAGGCTCGGAGAGCGTGGGGCTTGGGGTGGACCGTCAGACAATTTCAGCGCCAGGCCAACCCCAGGCCCAGGGGGGAGTCTGCCTTCCTGCCATCCTTCTGCCAGCGGAACCTCTGACCTGTGGGGAACTGCAGGCACCTTGCTGGCTGCTCAGAAACTTCAGAAGAGGTTCCAGAGGCAGCTCTGCCCTCAGCCCTTAGTCACGCGCTTGTGGGGCAGGGCCCCTCCGCCTTGTCCCGGGACCCCTGGTGCCTGGCCCAGGCCTGAAGGGCTGTGCTGGGCCCAGAGACAGCCTTGCAAGCAGCCCAGGGGCTGGAGGAAGTGCCTACTCTGTCCAGGAGGGGGCAGGAGAGACCTGTTCTGGGGTCACTGTTTGCAATACGCAGCAGGGTGTATGGCCCACCCTCCGTACCTCTTTTGTGGTGTGGGGAGAGGGTGCAGGTCCCTCGGGCTGTGTGTGGCTGGCCACGGCCCTGGACCCTCAAAGCTCATGAAGAGTTCACCAACAGGAGAGGCCAGCCCCCCGCAGTTTTGGCCCAGCGCTGGCCAGGGAGTCCCACAGCGCCACCTGCCTGTCTGGGGAATGCTTCTTGGAAGGGATCTTAAGTACAGGCTGAGGCTGGTGGGGCAGCCTAGGCAAAGGCAGGGGAGTTGGTGGCAGGGTGGAGGTGGGGACAGAGCTCCGTCTCCAGTGCCAGCACATGGGAGGTAGCCAGGGTTAATCATTCCCACATGGCCTTGACCCCACCCGCGCTGACCGATTCGCTCCCGCCTCCCGCTGCCCCTCTCGCCAACTCAGGAGGAGCCATGGGGCGCTGGGCCTGGGTCCCCAGCCCCTGCCCCCCACCTGGGCTGTGTGCCTTCCTGCTGCTGCTGTTGCTGCTGCTGCTTCCTCGGGGGACCCAGCCCCAGGCCAGAGGGGTGAGCACCGCTGCTCCCAGGCAGTGTGGCCAAGGGCTCCCTGTGGCACCCCAGGCTACTGGGCTTCAGACAGAGGGACGGCTCCCCGGGCAGGGGGAATGGGCTGGGGCCCAGGGGACTGGGGGGTGAGAGTCGGCCTTCAGGGCTGAGGTGGAGCTGGACTAGCCTGGGGCACTGGGTCCCTGAGCTTGCTGTGCTGTCCTGGAGCTGGGGGTCCCTGTGTGGCCTGGGCCCCAGTGAGTCTCGGCCCCTTCCCCGGCCTCGGTAGGTCCCAGTGTTTGAGGTGGGGAGCGAGGGGCCTCTGAGGGGCTCCGGCTGCTCCTGTCCTCCCTAGAACTGACCAGGGTTCAACCCTGAGGGGCGGTATACCTGGGCTGGGCTGTAGCTTGAGTCCAGGATGGGGAGGACACAGGCCCGGAAGAGACTTCAGTGTCCCGGGGCCCCAGACCCTACTCCACTTCGCTTCCCAGCACAAAGCAGTCTCAGGACTGGGATTCCCCCTACACCCTCCTGGTTTCTGGTTCCTCCTAGGATGGCACAGAACCCCCAGAACCTAATGCCACAGCCCCCCTTGGGGGCCCCATGATCCCTGTGACCTCTGTGACCCCCAAGATCCCAGCAACAAGTGCTCCAGAGGCAGAGGTGGAGGCAGAGGGACCCCAAGGTGGGGAGCTCCAGTCCCCAACCAGGGTGGCTCCCTCCCGCAGTGGCCCAGGGAGCCAAGGTGGGTCGGGAGAGGAAGCTTCCCACGGCACCTGGTGGTTGTGGGCATGGGTGGGCTGGGGTGGGGAGCCCTGCGGCGAGGACTGGAGCCCTGGCCTGCCGCCCCTGCAGTGCTTACCGAGGCCGGGCAGCCCTGCAGGTTCCCCTTCCGCTATGGAGGCCGGATGCTGCACTCCTGCACCCTGGAGGGAAGCGCCCGCAGGAAGTGGTGGGTCCCAGGTGGGGCGGGGGCTGAGGCCCCCCGGGTCTGGCACGCTGAAGAAGAGTGGCTGGAGCTCCAGGCAGGGCCGGGAGGGGTGGGCCTGTGGCCTGGACCCACTGACCCCCAGCATTGCTTCCCAGGTGTGCGACCACTCACAACTATGACCGGGACAGGGCCTGGGGCTACTGTGTGGAGGTTGTCCTGCCTCTGGAGGACCCAGGTGGGTGCAGGCTGTGGGGTGCGACAGCCTGACCCCAGCTAGGAGGGGCTGAGGTGGGGTGTGTGAGCTGGGGGTGCCAGGGTCCCAGTGCTGAGCGGGGGTAGGACCAAGGGAGACAGCTGAGCTGGGCAGGGGTCCTGCCTCGTGTGGAGGAGCGGCTGCAATTTGACCCTGGAGATGGCTGCCAGCCAAGGAGCCAGCCGCCCTGGGTCCAGTGTGGGCACCTTTTCAGATAGGGCTTCGTCCTCTCTGGGGCTGGGGCGCCCTCTCATGGCAAAGGCCAGCCTCTGGCCACAGACAAGCCCTGGACAGACGCAGGGTGGGGCCAGGTGGCCCAGGGCGTGAGGCTGGAGGTCTGGGGCTCGTGAATCTCTGGGGACATGGCAGGGGACCGCGCTGCCTGACAGTGTTGGTGCCAGCTTCTAGGATGCCACTTGCAGAGCCATGGGGCACCTTGCCCAGGTGCCAGGTAGAGGGCTGGGGAGAAAAGGGAGGCCTGTGTGCCCCCCTGGGGACCTGTACCCTCAGGACCCAGAGGGAGCAGCTGGAAGTGGGGGCCCATGGAGGCCCTTGGCAAGCAGCAGAGTCACAGAGGGACCCCGAGGACTCTTGCCCCCATCACAACCTCTCTTGCTGGATGATAGCTGCCCTTGACCCCTGTGCCTCCGGGCCTTGCCTCAATGGGGGCACGTGCTCCAGCACCCAAGACCCCGTGTCCTATCATTGCACCTGCCCCCTGGCCTTCACTGGCAAGAACTGCAACATCGGTGAGTAGGCCCTGGGGGCCCGGGGGCCCGGGGGCCAGGGGGCCATGGGGGCCATGGGCCTGGAGCCAACCAGGGAGGGTGGAGAGTGGTTGGGGGGCCCAGGGTGGGGTCCTGCCTGGGCTGTGGTGCAGGGAGTAGGGGCTCACTGTGTGGCCCCCAGGGAAGTGCTTCGATGAGACCCGCTATGAGTACCTGGAGGTGGGTGACCGCTGGGCCCGCGTGCACCAGGGCCACGTGGAGCAGTGTGACTGCGTGGGCGGCCAGGCCCGGTGCGAAGATGCCCACCACACAGGTACACCGTGGCCAGCTCCGGGCAGGCCTGGGCCCCACGGTGAGGGTCAGCCACGTCCCTGAGCCCCCGACAGGCCTTCCTTCCCCACCCAAGCAGAAGGGACTTGCCCAAGGCCACCCAGCACCAAGGGCACAGGAAGGACCCGGGCCCTGGCCCCTGCAGGAGCTCAAGGCTGGGCCTAGCTTCTGGGCCCTTCTGCAGCTTGCCTGAGCAGCCCATGCCTGAACGGAGGTACCTGCCACCTGATCCTGGGCACCGGGACCAGCGTCTGCGCCTGCCCGCCAGGCTATGCTGGGAGGCTCTGCAACATTGGTGAGTGGGTTTGGCCCTCTGCCCTGGGAGCAAGCCTGGGGTGGTGTCAGGGAGGCCCCGCTGTGGGTGGCTTCACACCTGTCCTGTGTGGGAGCCTCATCCACACCTGCTGTGCTCTCAGTGCCCACAGAGCGCTGCTTTCTGGGGAATGGCACTGAGTACCGTGGCGTGGCCAGCACTGCGGCCTCGGGCCTGGGCTGCCTGGCCTGGAACTCCGACTTGCTGTACCAGGAGCTGCACGTGGACTCGGTGGGCGCTGCCGCCCTGCTAGGCCTGGGCCCCCACGCCTACTGCCGGTCAGCACCCGGTGGCCACCACAGGCACCTTGCTCTGAGTGGGTGGGTGGCTCCCAGGACCCAGCTGGGACCAGCACTGCCCAGATGGCCTGATAGCCTCTGCCCAGAAGCCTGCCCTCAGGAGGCTGGGCAGAGACGCTCTGGCTGGAGTCTGCGGAGCAAGCACCGTTGCTCTGGGTGTGAGGCGCCCCCGGCCTGGGTTCCCAAGGGTTCCCTTATCCCAGCCCTCTCTGAGTGGCAGTGTGCCTCCTGTCCCCTGCAGGAACCCGGACAAGGATGAGAGGCCGTGGTGCTACGTGGTGAAGGACAGCGCGCTCTCCTGGGAGTATTGCCGCCTGGCCTCCTGTGGTGCGAGGGTGCAGGGCACAGTGGGTGGTGCTGCCTGAGGCCCTGAGGTCAGGGGACAGGTTGACCCTGGGGGCGGCTCCCAGTGGCCCCATGCCCCAGGACTGCCCTCTGGGGTCTCTGGCTCTCCTGGGGTCGGTGGTGGTGTCCCAGGCTGCAGGGGAGACAGGAGCACCCGAGGGTGCTGGCCACTCTGTGGCAGATCCTCTGGGCGGTGTTCTCCCATCCTAGGGGAGGAGACTGAGGCTCAGAGGGGGCCCATGCCCAGAGCAGGGGTGGGCTGAGGAGGCCCTCCCTGCCCTGGAGAACCCTATGGAGGTGACCTGGTGACCTCTGCTCCAGAATCCTTGGTCAGAGTCCAGCCCCCGCCCCCTGAGGTCCTGGTGACCCTGCCAGAGCCAGCCCCGGCTGGACGCCCAACCTGTGGCAAGAGGCACAAGAAGAGGACATTCCTGAGGCCACGGATCGTGGGCGGCTCCTCCTCCCTGCCTGGCTCCCACCCCTGGCTGGCTGCCATCTACATAGGGGGCAGCTTCTGTGCTGGGAGCCTCATCCACACCTGCTGGGTTGTGTCTGCTGCCCACTGCTTCTCCAGTAGGTGAGTGGCCCTGGCCCTGAGCCCAGCCCACAGGGCCACGAATCCCAGCCATCCCCCATCCCCCACCCACATCCCACTCCGCCATTCACTGCTCCCGCGCCCACTGCCCACCACAGGACCGCCACGCTGGCCTCCATCCCATTCCGGCCCTACCCTGCACACTCCTACTGCCATCACCAGGCCACCCGTCCTGGGCCTCCGTGGGCCTTCCCACCTGTCCCTGCCGCCTCACTGGGACTCGGCGCTTGGCCTCGTGCTGAGCTCTGAGGCTCCAGAGACCCCGGGGTTTTGGGAGGCCCTGGGACAGGGTGGAAGGCTCCTGCAGAGGCACCTCCGGGTAGACCCCCGAGCCCAGCTCCAGGCAGGGTTGGGAGGAGGGGGGGAACGACTGCCTCCTCCTATCACCAAGGTGCTTGAGGGGCGCCCAGCTGGTAGGGACAGGGCAGTGACCAGACACCTTGGAGCCTCCGGGAATCCCGCCGGACAGGAGAAGCTCTGGCCCACTCTGGGCTCCCAGCAGCCCTCCTGCCTTCCACCCAGGGAAGCTGACCAACCGGGGAAGGAAAGCCCAGGTCCCACCGCCCAGCCTGGAGGGCAGGAGGGAGCAGACAGGCCCCTTCTCACCTTGTGCCCCTGCCAACAGGGTCCAGGGGGACTGTGCAGGTCCTGTCCTGAAGAGGAAAACTGAGGCCCAGACGGTCGGGGGCTGACATGGGGCCTGGGCTCTGTGTCCTCCAGTGGCGAGGGGCATATCTGGGACCCCACAGGCCAGGTCCAGCTGGGACAGGGCCTTCAGTAGGACAGGTCTCCACCGACCTGGGCAGTCTCAGCACATCGGCCTGGGTGCCCGCGGGTGTCACTGGGCTATTGGAGATAGCGCAGCGCCCTGTGGCTCCCGGGCCCAGGCCTGGGGTGGCTGCGACCCCACCACTCCTCTCTCCAACTCACGGTCCAGTGGACTAGCGAGGGCCACTGCAGGCCTCTCCCTGGGGCTGTGGGCCGCACCTCAGCCATTGCTGAGCAGCCATGGCCAGCGGGGCCCAGTTCCAGGTGGGGGTGCTGACCAAGTGGCCTGAGGAGAGGTCCAGGTCTGTGTGGCCACCAGGACCTCCAACCCCACACAGTCCCCCCAGGGAGAGCGTCTCGGTGGTGCTGGGCCAGCACTTCTTCAATCGCACCACAGACGTGACCCAGACGTTTGGCATCGAGAAGTACATCCCCTACTCCCTATACTCGGTGTTCAACCCCAGTGACCATGACCTTGGTGAGCTCCACGGCGCAGCAGGGTGGGTGTTCTCTGTGCAGCCAAGCCAGAGCAAGGACAGGGCAGGGGCCATTGGCCGGGCAGACACTGGGGGCCAGAGGAGGAGGGGTCTGGGCAGGGCAGCCAGGGTGCCTGTTGTGGCCTCCAGGGCTGGAGGGAGCCTGGCCTGTGACTCAGTCCATCCTGGACCCCTCCTAGGCTGACCTCTGACCTCTCTCCTGCTCAGTCCTGATCCGGCTGAAGAAGAAGGGCGAGCGCTGTGCGGTCCGCTCCCAGTTTGTCCAGCCCATCTGCCTGCCCGAGCCTGGTGTCTCCTTCCCCCCTGGACAAAAGTGCCAGATCGCAGGCTGGGGCCATGTGGATGAGAGTGAGTGGGGGACTGCCCCAGAGCCAGCCCGGGGGAGCAGCGGTCGGCCATAGTGAGCTGGCCCACGCTGAAAGCGCCGTGCCCTGCAGATGTGAGCAGCTACTCCAGCTCTCTACGGGAGGCACTGGTGCCCCTGGTCCCTGACCACAAGTGCCGCAGCCCCGAGGTCCATGGTGCCGACATCAGCCCCAACATGCTCTGCGCGGGCTACTTCGACTGCAAGGCCGACGCTTGCCAGGTGAGCCGTGCTGCCCAGTGGGACTGGACACGTGGGGTTGGTCGACCTGCTTACCCCTTGGAGCTCCGAGCTGGAGGGGTCCGGGACAGAACTTACACCCACTGGGCTGGTGGCCAGCACCCCAGGATGGCTGGCTGCCTGGCCCCTCTAGAGAGGGCAGGTGTCTTCACAGCCCTGTCCTCAAACATATGACAAGAGGCCTCAGGCCACACCAGTAAAGCCCAGGTTCGCCCAGTGGCTAGGGGCGCCACAGGATGTCAGTTGCCCGAGGCCACCCACGCCCCTTTGCCCAGATGTCTCTCAGACATGCTCATTGCTCAGGCCATTAACCAGTAGCTAAGGTCTGCCCCCTCCGCGGCCTGATCCCGTTCATGCTCCACGTCAACAGGGCCATCTTGGAAGGACTGCTCAGCAGGCCAGGTCCTAGGTGGGGAAGCAGCCCCAGGCCAGATCTCTCTTCTGGGTTTGCAGGGCTTAGGTGTGGAGAGGGGTGGGGCTGGGCAGGGACACATGGTACCAAGCTGTCAGGACACATGGTTCCTGGTGTGTGGGGTGGGTGCCCTTGTCCTGAGAACTGCACAGGCCTTGAGGGCAGCAGGGAGCATTTCAGGTGGTGGGAGAGGCAGATGCCCACATGGGGAATGCTTCTGGGCAGGAGAGGGTGGCCAGGTTGAGAGTGTGTTGCTGGTGGAGGTGAGGGGCAGCCGGCAGGCTGCAGGAGGCAGTGGCGAGGGGGCTCCCCTGGACTGGCAGAGCTGGCCCTCTGGTGGCCTGGGAATGAGGTGACCTGTATGTGAGGTCTCTTCCTCAGAAATGCCCTTGCTCTCCGTCCCCATGCTGCCAGACAGCCTTCTGGGGCAGTTCTGTCACCAGCAGAAGACACTTCCTGGATTCACACTCCTGGGGGCCTTTGGGTGGGGGTGTGGAGCTGCTGCTAGGTGTCCCCGAGCCAGCTCCCAGCCACGTCTCTGCCCCAGGGTGACTCAGGTGGGCCCCTGGCCTGTGAGAAGAACGGGGTGGCCTACCTGTATGGCATCATCAGCTGGGGCGATGGCTGTGGGCGCGGCAAGCCAGGCGTGTACACCCGCGTGGCCAACTATGTGGATTGGATCAGTGACCGGATACGGCCTTCCAAGCGGCCTACAGCGCCCTCCTGAAGCTCAGGACAGCCGTCCTTTCCCACTGCCTGCCTCACCGACAATAAAGACCTCTCCTGGCACCTCCTCTGTGACTCCTGCCTCCCCGGCCCTCCTGGGCCACAGCTTGGGCCAGCGGCTGCAGATGGGGTGACCTGGGCCAGCAGCCAGCATGGTCCTCAGTAGAGATTGGAGCCTGCAGCCCCCAGGAGGGCCTGGCCCCATGGCCCAGCAACTCAGGCAGGGGATTATGGCCCGGGCAGCATCCAGGCCACACCCACCGCAGGGCCAGCTGCCGACAGCTATGTGGTCAGGTCCAGGCACCCTGGGTGGTCACAGGGCAGCACATGGGAAGCAAGTCCAGGCCTCAGGCTGTGGACAGGGGCCTGAGCCAAGCAGTGGGGGAATGCTAAACCCCCAGGCAGACAGGGCACAGCTGCTGGACGCCTTTCGGCTTCAAGATGGCAGCCTGGCTGGGTTTCCCTTGGCTGTACCCCTCAGAGGGAGCAGGGGAGAAAGGGACCGTGGGCAGGGCTTGCTGCCAGGACAGAGTTCACAGGAGCCAGTCCTGACTCCAGCCAGGCAGGACGCCGAGGCTCATCTGAATGGAAGGAGGAGGTGGGCCGGAAGCCAGAGAGGGTGCTGGGCGAGGGGAGGGCCCCAGGGGCTGTGGGGAGCTGGGTCCACCCGGGTTCCCAAAGTCCTTGGCGTTAAACCCCCCTGTGCGTGAGGGGCAGGACAGTGAGGTTCCGTGGAGCAAGTCAGGGTGGGGTCCACGTGGGCCAAGGCCAGGCTGAGGCCAGCAGGCCCCTGGGAATGGAGCCAGAAGCCAGGGGAAGGCCAGTTTCCTGCCCCCTACCTGTGGCCTTGGGAAGGGGAGCAGATGGCTGTGCTCAGGGCACTGCCTGGACCAGGTTTGCCACGGGCAGTTTCTCCCAGTGCCCGCTGGTGGCCTCCCTCCCTAACCCTTCCTTGCCCTTGCCGGCCTCCTGTGACAGGCAGGGCCTCTCTCCCGGCCACCACGGTGCCCGGCCCACACCTGTGGGGTCTGCACACCTGCCCCTTCTGTGCTGCCGCCCGGGGGCCGTTCCCTGCTGTGCTGGTCAGACTGTACCCCTCTCTCAGGCCACCAGGCGGGGTCCTCAGGGGGCTCCTCACTGGGCTGCTACCTGCCCGGAGGGCTCACAGGGCCACAGCTAGCTACAGAGGGAGTGAGGCAGGAGCAAGCCCTCTGCTGAGGCCTCAGTGGGCTGGACGTTCACTGCCCTGGAAGTCAGAGTCTGAGCGAGGGAGAGCGCTGGCCCTGGGAGGGCAGCAGCGGGGCCAGTCTTGGGGCCTGGGCCTCCTGGGCTGATGAACATGGGCGGCGGGTGACCCCGCCACCACAGGTTGGCCACAGTCCTGGCGGCAACCATAGTGATGAGGGTGAGCATGGTGCTCCCAGAAGCTGCACAGTGGGTGCTCCTGCCCACAGGGTGCTCTCCTGCCGTGACTGCTGTCCTCCAGTCAAGCCGAGTGGGCTGAGGCAGGTGACTTCCCAGTGGTGAGTGGCTCTCCCACACTGATGCCACCACAGGCCCAATGCCAGGGACCCAATCAGCATCCACTTGATGCCTCCCTGCGACTGGGCCTTGGGACTGACCAGCACCAGTGCCAGGGGGCTATAGCCTCTGTGTCCGGGGGGCCCTGGGGAGCCAGCAGGAGGTCAGAGGAGATGTTTCCTGTGCCCTCGGTGTTGGGGCTGGACTGGGCCCTGGGATCATGTGCCATCATCTGGTCCCAAGGCCACTGACTGGGCCTATGTTTGGAGGTAGTCTTTACACAAATGAGGTCACCAGGGTGGTCCTCATCCAGTCCCACTGGTGACCTCCTAAGGAGAGGGGATTGGGACACAGACACTATGGAGGAGTCCCTGGAGGGTGTAGGAAGGAGGTGGCACTGTGCAGGCCCAGACCCGGGGCTGCATATGCGATGAGCCTGGACACCCGGAGCCCAGCCTCTAGATCTGGAAACCCTCCACCCACATGTCACTGCAGCAGCCCCAGCAGACGAGTGCCCCGTCTGGCCGTGTCCCTCACTGAAGGACCCTGCTGTTCTCCAGACTAGTGGCCTCCCCCAGCGTCCTGGTACGGCCAGTCTTCAGGTCGGGCAGAGGTGCCTGCTTCTCTTCATGACTGCCCAAGGTCACTAAGCTGTCCCTGTGGCCCACCTGACCATGCCTTTGTTGAAAAGCCTCTTTGACAGTCCCTCCATGCGCCAGCCCACTGGGGCCCTGGAGGACACAGGAGGCATCATTTTTTCTCACTTCTTAAATCTGCCTGTGTTTTGTTTGGGGGTTTGCATTTGCGTTTAGGAGTGAGAGTGACCTACACTCTTACATTCTTGGAGTTACAGTCACCAGGCTCATGTAATAAGACTGAGAGTTTCCCTTTCTTAAGCAAATCCTTGGCGATTCTGTGTGAGGCTGAGGGTCCTCTGGACACTGGAAGGCACCATGCAGTTTCCTGCCTGGCATTCTCTTTACAGGATGTCGGTAGCTACTCATTCAGAGCTGGTAGGAGTTCTGGGACCCTGGCACTATGGAAACAGTGACGGCTGGGGATTTCATTTCTTCTTGAGCTAGTTAAAGGAAGTCATATTTTTATGAATTTGTCTCATTTTTCACATGTATTACCATAAAGTTGTTTATGTTGTCTTAGGCTGTTTTCTGTCGCTATCACTGATTCCCGAGACCCGGTAAATTTTTGAATAAGAGAGGTTTATTTAGCTCAGTGTCCTGGCAGCAGCTCAGCAGCTGGTGAGGCAGGGCCTCCCCCAGCGAGATGGGCGACTGCCGCAGGGTCTCTTCTTCCTCTCCTTATGAAGTCACGCGGCCTGTGCTCACGGCCTCACCTCCCCTCCTACCTCCCCAAACACTGCCGCCCGAGTTCTGAGGCTGGCTCCACACATGGACCCCACGGGGGCGCGGCCCCGCCAGGCTGGCTGGCTGTTGCTCTGACGCTCAGGAACATAGCTCGGGGCTTGGTTTCCAGTGGATGCTGATTGGGTCTGTTGGCCTTGAGCCTGTGGTGGTGCCAGTGTGGGAGAGCCACTCGCCTCCTGGCTGAGACACAAAAGGGGAGGCAGGGGCTGCGTCCCAGTGACCCTGAGACCTGCACCTAAAGGTCCCAGGGCCGTGTGGAGCTGGAGGGCAAAGGGGGGCTCCTGGAGCAGAAGCCAGGCCCAGGCAGGGGGTGGGCAGTGAACCTGGTTGGATTGTGCTCCATGTGTGCAAAGTGACCACAGTGACGCCCACACGTTGCTCTTCGTACTCAATATGCACCAGTAAAATACTAAATTAAAAAGGGCCACCACACCCAGCAGTGGCCAGGCTGGGAAGCAGGCCTTCAGAGGACCGTCCACCCGGCCATAGTGGTTGTCACAGCAGAAAAGCGCAGGGGTTTGTCGGGGGCTGGAGGCCACTGGGGTGCTGGTGAGTGTGGGTGCAGCAAGCTGCTGCAGGCTGCTCCCTGCTGTGTCCTTCTGCAGCCGTCTGGCAGGTGCAGGAGGGAGGGGCTCAGGGGTCCTTGCCGTCCCAGCAGGTGCCAGGCTGTGGGCCGGAGTCCACTCAGGCCTGCGGCACCCTTGCACTCATGCTGAGGCCAGAGCACTGACAGATGGGGTTTAGTTTTTTTGGTGGGGGGCCACTGGTCATTCTTCATCTCACTAGGTGACCAGGGGAGAGTGGACAATGGCACGGGGTGTCTCATGGCCAGGTGTGGAAGTGGTGGTCATCATTTCTGCCCACTCTCCACTGGCCAAAGCCGTTCACATGGCCCTGCCCAAGGAAGGGCAAGCAAGTGGGTGGACAGGGGCACAGTGCCTGCCCTGGTCAGCTGGAGATGCCCGCACAGCAGCCTAGCCTGGTCCTCCCGATCCTCCTCGTGTGTGTGAAACCATGGTGACTCTGGAAGACTCTCAATATGCGCTGTCCCTGGGCTCATGGTGGCAACGTCAGCCCAGGGGAAGGAGCCGTGGCCAGGTGAGGCTGGAGGACCAGGGTCCGGGGAGTTCCATGGCTGCAGAGCCAATGGAGGGCCGCAGCGCCCTGTAGCCGTGGTCTTGGTGGCAATGTCCCCATCTGTAGCGCCTGGCAGTGGCGCCGTGGCTGTGGGCTCAGGAAGCACGGTGATCACCGCCATTAGCCTCTGCGCAGTGTGCAGAGCTGGGCGGTCATCCTGTCTCAGGGTGTGACCCTGCGTTTTTGCTGTCCCCTTCCTGAAGCGGCATCTCTCTGGCTTGCCCTCTGCGGTTCCAGAGGCCCGACACCTGCCAGCCAGCTCCTGGGGCAGGAGGGCTCCACCACGGGCACCAGGCCTCGCTCCGACAGCCGGGGCCAGCTGGGCAGGAGCCAAGTCAGGGTCGTGGAGACCTCGGCCCCCAGGGAAAGGGGCCAGCCCCTTCCTCCTCCCTGCTTGGCAGAGCCCTGGCACAGCGCTGTCCTCTGGGCCACACGGAGTGGGGGAGGGGGCTCTGTCCCCACGGTGCCTGCATTTCCGGGGCCAGGGCACAGCAGGTGCAGCTGCCAGGCGTGGCTGGGGCCTGGGCCAGGGCCAGCACTTGGGAATGCAGCAGCCGCCGCCCCTCCCTGCAGGGAAGAGCAAGTGCCAGGCGCCCGGCAGCGGATGTGTCCGTGGCTACAGCCCCCATCCGGCAGCTGGCCCTGCAGGCCTAGGGCTGTCCTGGGTAGCCCCTGGGCCTGCTGTGCAGAGGGCATGAAAGGAACTCTGTGGTCAGCAAGCGCTCCCTGGGGTGCACAGGTGATGGGGGTGCAGGGCGCTTCCTGGGTCTGAGACCCCCTCCCTGCATTAGGCCCCAACAAGACCCCTGGGTGGCATCAGAAGCAGCCCTACGCTCACCTGAGACCTGCTCTCTCAGACCCCCAGGGGTGACAAGGAGGGTCACCCAGGGCTGAGCCCAGCTCTGGGGTGGGCAGAAGTGGGTCAGTCCTGGCCGTGAGCCCGTTTCCCAGACTGCGGTGTCTGGACGGGCGACACCAAGACTCACATGCCCTTGGTAGGCCACTGTCACCCTCACCTCCTTCCTACCAGACCACTGCCTCGGCCTGCATATGGACCCGGCCTCTCTGCTTCTCTGGGAGCCTCCCCCCCCCCGGGCTGTTCCCTGACACCTGGTGTCCTGGAGTCCTTGGCCTTGGGGCTGGCTCACAGATGCGGAGTCCCCTGGCACCGACCCGCCAGGTCCCCAAAGCACATGGGCTCCAGCAGAACCTGGCCAGCCCTCTAGAGCTGCTGGCCTGGGGGACAGGAAACCCGGGAGCACAGAGGCCAGGTGGCCAGCGGGGGCGCTGAGGGAAGGGTCTTTACGGAGCAGTGTGGCTTCTCTATGTCCTTCTGTGCTGGGGGTGGGTGCAGGTCAGCCTTTGGTGGGTCCAGTTCTTGGACAGGGACTAGGGGAGACCAGACACAGAGGCTGGGGGCACTGAAGTGGCAGGGTGGGTCCTGGTCCCACCCACCACCTGGCAGTCACCTGCACCAGGTACACACTGCCTGAAGCCTGAGTCACTTGGGACTAGAGTGGATGGGGGGACAGGTAACCAGAGAGCCCCTGCACCCCCAACCACCACGCACCTAGCCCCTGGGCTTGCTGTGCAGAGAGCATGAATGGAACAGGGTCCTGTCTGGGCAGGGTTCTCTGGGCGCGGGGGAGGCCCAGGGTAGGGGAGTGTCCTGGGCCGCGGGGCCAGTGGTCGTTCTGTCCTTAGGAGTGTCTGGTGATGCCCTGGGCTGGGGAGGGGAGGCACAGTGGTGACACCAGAGTGGCTGCAGACAGACTTGGGAGCCTGCTTCCCGAGTACGATGCCCGCTCTGTGTTTGGAAGGGAAGTCCCACACACCGTCTTGCCTGGGGCTGCCTCAAGTGACTGCAGGTGGCCACACTGCCGGTGGGCAGGAACCATGGGCAGAGGTCAGCGGGGTGGGGAGCCGCCCAGGCTACGTGCCACAGGCTCCTTCCACCTGGCAGCAGGAGCCGGCGCCGCCGCCGCCCCAGGTCCCTGGCTGCCCCGCCCGCGGCGCCGAGGCCCGCCCTCCTGGCCCAGCCCAGGCCCTCCCGAGCTATTTTGAAAGTGACCCTGGGCTCCAGCGCCCAAGGCGCGGGGAGAGGGCGCGGCGGGCGGCGGAACCATGACAGAAGATGACCGAGGCGGCGCTGGTGGAGGGCCAGGTCAAGCTGCGGGACGGCAAGAAGGTCGGGAAGCGGCGGGGGCGCGGGGCGGGGCGCGCATGGGCGGCCGCTCACGCTGTCCTTGTCCCCGCAGTGGAAGAGTAGGTGGCTCGTACTGCGCAAGCCGTCGCCGGTGGCAGGTGAGCGGGCGGCGGGCCTCATCCCCGCAGGCGCCGCTGGCCCGACCGAAATAGCCGAGTCGCGGTCCCTGAAACCCAGCCTGGCGGTAACCGGAGAGTGGCGCGCGACGCTGGGCGGCCAGGACCTGCAGCCTGGGCGCCCCGGGTGGCCCGGAAGGCCGCGTCCCTAGCCCCGGAGCAGCCAGGGGAAAAAACCCTGTAGCCTCCCTCAGCGGCAAGGACGCCCTGCAGGGCACCGTCCCTGCACCCGGGTCTGCGCGGGACTGCACCCGTGGGAGCGCTCAGAGCAGAGCCCGGGCCCACGTCCCCTTCCTTCCCAGGGGCCAGGCCAGGTGGGAAGAGCCCTGCTGTGTCCCAGGAAAGCGGCTTGACCGTGTTTGGGGGGCACGGGTCGCTGGGGAGAAGGGATGGTCCCGCTCGCAGCCCGCGCCCCTACTGGGGGGAGCAGGCGGAGCCCCCGTGGCCGGCCACTCTGCGCCCCGCTCGGCTCGCACTCGAGGGCGCGGCTGCAGCTGTCCCGGGAGACAGGTGCCCTGGAGCCGCCCAGGCTGCGGGTCTGTGGGGGGCTGGCGGGGGCGTGCGTCCGCCACACGTGTGGCCAGAGGGTCTTCCAGGACACCGTGGCATCTCTCCTCCCTGGAAGGGGATGCTTGCAGAGGGGGCAGGCTTTGTGGACGGTCACTTCCTGCCTGGGCCTCAGCCCCCTTTCCAAGGGGCTCCAGCTCCACGGGCTTCTTGTTTCTTAAGTCTTTCAAATCCTGACCCTGCCCTGCCCTGACCCTGCCCTGTCCTGACCCTGCCCTGCCATGACCCTGCCCTGCCCTGCCCTGTCCTGACCCTGCCCTGTCCTGACCCTGCCCTGTCCTGACCCTGCCCTGTCCTGACCCTGCTCTGTCCTGACCCTGCCCTGTCCTGACCCTGCCCTGTCCTGACCGTGCTCTGTCCTGACCCTGCCCTGTCCTGACCCTGCCCTGTCCTGACCCTGCTCTGTCCTGACCCTGCCCTGTCCTGACCCTGCCCTGTCCTGACCGTGCTCTGTCCTGACCCTGCCCTGTCCTGACCGTGCTCTGTCCTGACCCTGCCCTGGCCTGACCCTGCTCTGTCCTGACCCTGCCCTGTCCTGACCCTGCCCTGTCCTGACCGTGCTCTGTCCTGACCCTGCCCTGTCCTGACCCTGCCCTGTCCTGACCCTGCTCTGTCCTGACCCTGCCCTGTCCTGACCCTGCCCTGTCCTGACCGTGCTCTGCCCTGACCCTGCCCTGTCCTGACCCTGCCCTGGCCTGACCCTGCTCTGTCCTGACCCTGCCCTGGCCTGACCCTGCTCTGCCCTGACCCTGCCCTGTCCTGACCCTGCCCTGTCCTGACCCTGCTCTGTCCTGACCCTGCCCTGTCCTGACCCTGCCCTGTCCTGACCCTGCCCTGGCCTGACCCTGCCCTGGCCTGACCCTGCCCTGTCCTGACCCTGCCCTGTCCTGACCGTGCCCTGTCCTGACCCTGCCCTGTCCTGACCCTGCCCTGTCCTGACCCTGCTCTGCCCTGACCCTGCCCTGTCCTGACCCTGCCCTGTCCTGACCCTGCCCTGTCCTGACCGTGCTCTGCCCTGACCCTGCCCTGTCCTGACCCTGCCCTGTCCTGACCCTGCCCTGTCCTGACCATGCACTGCCCTGACCCTGACCTGCCCTGACCCTGCCCTGACCCTGCTCTGACCTTAACCCTGCTCTGTTGGTCCCTGTGCTGTCCTGACCCTGCGCTGTCCTGCCTTTGCCCTGCCCTGACCCTGGTACAGGAGAGTGGGGATCCGGGGAGTAAAGACCCCAGCATGCAGACCGGGTATGGAGGGCTGTGGGGGCAAAGGCCACAGTGGGCAGGCATGAAGGCCTTGGCCAGCTGTGGCCAGAAGCTGGGGCCTGCTGTGGGGACGGTGCTTCTCTGGACAGGGTGGGCCAGTGCCTGTGCTGGGTACCCCGAGAGGCCAGAAAGCCCTGTCCCAGGTGCCCAGTGGGAGAGCACCCTGGGGTGCAGCGGTGCCTCTTCAGAGCACAGGAGCTTCCCAGGGGGCAGGGCCGGCTGGCCTGCGGGGCACCGGGGGTGGAGGGTGCCTGGGTCAGGTCTCCCAGTAGGGACAGTGCGTCGGCACCTCTGGGTTCTCCATGTGCCCAGCAGCAGGAGGCAGAGTGCCCGAGGCACGCAGGACAGGAAAGGGAACCAGGGCCGGGTCAGTTGTCCCCAGGGGACTGTGCAGCCAGGCTGGGGACAGGGTGGGCACTGGTGGTGCCTCTGTGGATGGACGTCTGCCCTGCCACTGTCCTGTCGTCCTGGAGCCTGGCTCTGGTTTCTACGGCTGCCCCTCCCCCAACCGCCCCCCAACTGGTGGCCTGCGGCCCCCCCATCTTGTCCAGTCCACAGTCCTCACTGGAGAAGGGCTCTCCCCACCCCACCCAGCCCCTCCCCAGGTTCCAGACCCCTGATCCTGGGTGCTGGGGAGAGGACGGCCGGCGTCCTCTGTCAGAGGCATCCAGGTCCTTGGGTTTAAAATGCTGACCCCCCTCTGAGGGCCACGAGCCGCGTCAGGCAGGAGGTGCGTGCGTGGTGGGCTCAGGCCTCTCCACTGCAGCCTGGGGGGCCTCTCCTAATGAGGCCTAGTGGGCGGGTCTGCAAGAGCCAAGCCCCATGGCTGCCGAGAAGGAAGGACAGGCTAGCAGGTGGGCAGCACAGGACCCTTGCCGCAGCACCCTAGGGAGTCTTCGTGGGACTGTGCTCCTCAAGGCTGGGGTTGCCTCCCGGCGCAGGGCCGTCCACTCCCCTCTCTGGGCCTCTAGGCGAGGGCATCGGGGTTCAGTCCTGGCTGGGCCTCACTGAGACTGGGACCCGGAGGGGCACCACTCTGAGGCTGCCCGTGAGCCGCTCCTGGTGATCCCTCTTGCTTGGGAAGCCCCCACGAGGGACCTGAGTCCCGGAGCTGGCGGTGCCTTTGGGGCATTGTAGACCGGGAGGTTTCTCAACCTGAAGGATCTGGCCCAGGACATGGGCCTGTGGGAGTGGCTGGGCAGCCAGGGAGTGGGCAGCCAGGGAGTGGGTCGCCCCTGGTTGTTGGCTGCCTGTGATCTCTGCTCTCTGCTCCTGGAGGGCTGGGTCCCCAGCTTGGCCCACCCACCAGCAGTCTGCAGGGGTTGGGGCTTGGGCAGAGAGCTTGGGGAGCCCTGCCTGCAGGAGGACCCCCGTTTACATGGTCTTGGTGATACAAGACCTTGAACCCAGGTACAGGCACAGGTAGCTTCGGGATGTGTGCCCGGAGCCCTGGGGCCACCTGTGCTGCCTGATCCCTGCCTGGGACTGCTGGCCTGTGCAGCTGGCTACTCTGCTGACCACTTCCTCCAGGTGTTAGGCCCTGTGGGCCCTGGGGTCACTTCGGAAGTTGGTGACTCTTGCTTTGGGTCATTTGTACTCCGCCCCCTTCCCTGTGGGGATGAGGTGACATCTCAGCCCCTGGCTAAGGAGGGGTGAGCTGGCGGCCAGACTTCCTTTCCCATGGTACCATCACAAAACAGGGCCACACCCAGGGCCCAGCTTCCTGCAAGCCCCATCCCAGGAACAGGATCTCCTGGGCCCAGAATCTGGCGCGGCCCCCGTGGGCCTGCCAGGAGAGCTGCGCCCCTGCCCAGCATCTTTCTTGAGCAGCTCAGAGCAGCGCTCGGCCAGCCGACGCCCAGGGTCTGGGGAGGGTGGACGGAGAGGGGGCAGCCGGGGCTGTGGGCCTGCGTGCTGAGCCCCAGCCACTCCTGGTGACCTCCAGGCTCTCTTGTGGTGCCAGCTGTGGTGTCGGGGGTGACCACTGTGAGCACAGTAGGGTGCTGCTTTCCCGAGTGCCCTTGGCCTGCCCTGTGTGTCCTGGGAGGCCCCAGCAAGCCAACCAGGTCAGCGCCCCTCGGCCCCTGCCGGGCCTCTTGGGCTGCCCCAGGCTGCTGTGTGCTCAGCAGGGTCCCTCAGTCTCCTCCAGGGACACTGCCTCAAGGTCACTCTGACCTCCAGGGTGCGGGTCCAGCAGCCGCGGCTCTCTGCCTTCCTGCGGCCTCCTTGCTGGCCACTGGACCCTGCAGTTCCTCTCCACGGGGAGGCCACTGCCCTGCCTCTCCCTTCCTGCCTGGGCTCCCAGCCCTGGCTGCAAGGCTTCTGTGAGCTCATGACTCCCGGTTATTTTTACATCTCCAGACGCCTGTCCAGCTGCTGCCCCGTGTCCAGTGGGTTTCTCAGCCTCTCTCATCCAGGAGAGACCCCCATCCTGGCCCCCAGCAGCCTCCCAGGCATCCCTCCCCCGCAGATCCACAGAGGCCCCTTAACCCTTCACCCTCATCTCCTTTCATCCTAGAGGGCCTGTGGTCTCCTGTCCAGGGGGCTGGGAGAGCGATGTGGCCAGCTCCAGGGTGTGGGCAGGCCTCTCGCCTGGGGGCAGGAGCTCTGGGGCGGCCGTCACGCCAGGCCACACAGAGGCTCAAAGACCAGCCAGCCCAGCCTCTGGGCCCAGGGCCCTTGGAGCTCTCTGGAGCCAGGACCCTGAGCAGCTGCCTGCACGGCAGCCCACTCTGCCTCCCTGTCTCCAGTGCTGCCCAGCCCTTGGGCCCTGAAGAGGCCATGCTGCCTGCCTCTGGGATGCACTGGCCATTCCCTCTAAGACAGCACTGTTTCCTGTGGAGCTGCAGGGCTGGGCCTTCACAGGTGGTTCCCTGCCCCACCTGAGGTCACCTGCCCCCTCCTTGTACAGCACTTTGATGACGATTGTCCTGGGTGCTGGCTTGTCTGTGTTGCTCCTGGGACAGCTCTGTGGGAGCTGGGCTTCGCGGCTCAGGGCTGCAGGAAGGCCCAGGCCAGGACGGAGCCAGGAAACAAGGGGCTATGAACCGCGGGTGGGCCCTGGGGCCCGAGTGGGGGAATGACCCAGCCAGGCCCACTCAGTGTTCCTGTCTTTCTTCACTCCCAGCCCAGCTGGGTGTCCACCTTGCCCACCGGCCCAGGGCAGAAGTCGTGGGTGGGGGGCCCGGGGTCAGTCACTTGCCTTTCAGCCCCGAGTCCTTCAGGCTTCTGTGCTGAGGGCCTGGCGGTGGGGCTGCTGCTGGCCGCCCTGTGTGGAGACTCTCAGAGGCCTCAGTGGCCAGGCCCAGCTCCCAGCTAGTGCCTGGACCCTGTAGCTGGGCTTTCTCCAGCTTTCAGGGGAAAAACAGAGGCTCAGAGGCTGAGGACGGGGTAGGCAGGTGGGGCTGAAACCTGGTCACCTGCACCCGGGGATTGAACTCAGGGGCACTCACCATGGAGCCACACCCCAGCCCTATTTGATATTTTTTAAATTTAGAGACAGGGTCTCACTGAGTTGCTTAGTGCCTCCCTGTTGCTGAGGCTGGCTTTGAACTCGGGATCCTTCTGCCTTAGCCTCCCAAGCCACTAGGATTACAGACATGTGCCATCCTGCTTCGTAAGTGAGCATTTTTGTGAGTGTGTAAGAGTGTGCAATTGTGTGTACGCCCAGGTGTGCATGGGAGTGTGTGTACTCGAAGGCATGAGAGTAAGCACACGTGTGTGTGCGCCTTTGTCTGCCGATGCTGTAACAGCCGCACAGCCCCGGTGGCCAGAGAATGACAGGATCCCTCCTTACCATGGGCTCTTGCCCAGCAGGGGCTGCTCTGGTTCCCAGCTGGCACCTCCTTGCTGCCTCTCCCTCACCCGGGGAAGGGGTCCTCAGGTCCTCCCTCACAAGCCCCCCCCACTGAGGCTCTGCCCTCACGTCCTAGGCTCTGCCCAAAGCCCCGCCTCCAGATACATCAGTGCCTGAGCGGGCACAGACATTCAGCCCACTGTGGGTGTGCCCCTGTGGGTGTGGGTGGCCAGGACTGGGCCCTGGGCCTCATCCTTGGGCTCTGCCCTCCATGGTGACCCCAGCACCCTGCACCCAGCCTCAGCTGAAGTGCGTTGAGGGGCAGACTCAGGTTGGCCCGCTAGACAGAGCCCAACAAGGACAGGCCGAGATCTGCAGGGGGCTCCGCGAGGGTGGGGTCCTTGTGCAGGCTTAACCTCCCCGGGGGGGGGGGGCAGACCTGCTCCGCAGCCTGGGGCACAGGCAGGGTTCCCTGGGGGTGGGCAGGTGCCCTCTCAAGCCAGCACCACCTGTTTGTAAATCACGCTTTATTGGAAGCAGCACAGGGAACTCAGCCCTGCTGCCTGTGGGTGGTGGTGACGGGCTGCCAGGCTGCCTGTGCCTGTCTTGGTGCTCTGGTGATGGGACGGGGACATTCCCATGAGAACTCACTGTTGCATTGCCCGGGCATCGTGGTCCTGCCTGAGATCTGGCCTGCAGGCATCCTGCTGGCCCCGCGCGGGGGCAGGTGGCCTCTGTGGGTTCTGGTTCTCTTCACCTGGGGGCCCTCCTTCTCCATGTTGTCACACTGAGGTGCCAGCGAAGGATTCTCCAGTAGGCGGCAAAAGTCCCGCTGCCCACAAGCCTGTGTTTGAAAGTGACCCTCCAGGTGGGCACAGGGGCCACTGGCCTGCACTCTTCTGTCACTAGGAGGACAGCTTTGAGTAGTTGACACAGAGACCATGTGGCCTGCAATGCACAGACTGTCACCCTCTGGCCCTCACAGACAAAGCTTGCTGACCATGGGCCTCTGGTGGTGTCCCTGGCTCCAGGCTGGGTCTCTGGTCCTGGTTCGAGAAGCTGGGCCGGGAGGGAGGTAGGGGAGCTCAGGGCTGTGTGGGGGATCCTGCCGCAGCGGTGTGTGCATCCCATCACCTGGGGCCTGGGGTCTCAGATGGGTTTGCTGGGCCTATTAAAGAGGAGTGTCTGCTTCCAGGGCCTGAGCCGGCACCGCCCTGTCCTGGCTGGGCACCTCCGACCCCCTCTCCTACAGGTGGGCGAGGGGCTTGACTCCTTGAGTTTCATGTGGGATTTGGGGTCGTGTCAGTGCGAACGTGTTTGGTGTTTGCATTAGGTCCCTAGGCCGACACCCTCCTCCAAGACTGGGCACCCTGGGGTCCTGGAGCTGTGGGGGACCTGGGTGGGCACGGGCCACGCTGAGCAGTGGCAGTGTTGGCAATGACATGTCGATGGAGACCCGAGTGTCCTGGAGGGGCCAGGAGGTGAGACTCAGGCCTGTCCCTGCAGCCAGGGGACAGGTGGAGGCCTGCCGCGCTGCTCGGGTGGGACCCATGGTCCAGTGACACTCCTCTTCCTCCCCAGGGCTGGGCTCAAGCCACAGCCTGGGAGCCAAGAGAATGGAGGGGAAGCAGGCGTCGGCGCGTCAGGCCAGAGGGTGCAGCCCAGGCCTCAGAGCAGGGAGGAGGCCCATGCAGCTGGGCAGGCACTGTGCCTGCTTCCTAAGTCAGGGACCACAGCTCCTGCAACCCTAGGCCAGGGTGGGCTCACAGGCCTGGGCCGAGTGGTCATCCGGGTGGAGTCCAGGCCCAGCCACAGTGATGAGGGGGCTTGCTGGTCATTCAGGAGGGGGCAGGGTAGATGAATGGCTTTCTTGGTCACATCTTAAGCCCCAGTCTCTTTCCAGCTGTGCCATGTCCTCCCAGGGGGTGCTGAGGATGGGGGCAGTGGGCAGTGGCATCTTGGTGGACGCTCCATGGCCTCTTGCCTCCTCTGCAGATTGCCTGCTCATGCTGGCCTACAAGGACAAGTCTGACCGTGCCAAGGGCCTCCGGGAGCGCAGCAGCCTGACCCTGGAGGACATCTGTGGCCTGGAGCCTGGCCTGCCCTATGAGGGTCTGGTCCACACGCTGGCCATCGTCTGCCTGTCCCAGGCTGTCATGCTGGGCTTCGACAGCCGCCAGGCCATGTGCGCCTGGGATGCCCGCATCCGCTATGCGCTTGGTGAGGGTGAGTGCCCGGATGGAGGCCCCGGGGAGGGCTTCCCGCACAGTACCGGGGCCCTCTCCCATGGGGACTGCAGGGGCAGACAAGACCCGGAACTGCACACAAATGAAGGGAAGCTAGTGGACACCTCAAATGTTGTCCTGCTGGGCCTTGAGCTCTGTGCTCTGGATGAGGGGTCCCGGAGAGCCAGACCCTGCCTGGGGGTGATCAGACCAAGGATCGGGGTGGGTTCTATGGGGGCTGCGGGGTTTGTAAGCTCCCTGGCCCAGCTCCATTGGTCCAAGCTGCCACCCATCATCTCCCAAAGTCCTGCTCTCGCTTCCTCCTGGGCCATGTGAGCCTGGGCTGTGCAGAGCAGAGCCACCAGCCCCCCGGGAGCCAGAGTCAGGGTGGGAACGGCTGGGCAGGGAGGAGGGCGGTGGCTGAGTGGCCAGTGGACAGGCAGTGAGCTCGTGTGCCTGAGGCAGCAGCTGCCCACAGAGGAGTTTCACGGAGCTGGGCCACCCTGGGAAAGGGCACCTGGAGCTGGGGCCCTGGGGCTCTGCAGTGTGGAGGGGAGGCCTGAGCCGGGCCCCGCGCGAGGAGGGGGATGGCAGAGCCAGGACTCAGCCCGGCGAGGCACGGGCCTTGGGCACTGAAGGTCCGAGTGACAAGCACTACAGCCTCTCAGGCCTTGTTCTCCGAAACACCAAGACCGGGGCCACCCGTCCAGGTGAGCCCCTCCAGGGTGAGCCAACTCCAGGCTGTCAGCCACGGCAGGTTCTGCCCGTCCGTCTGCACACCTGGGTGTCCTTCCTGGGCTCTCTGCAGGACTTCAGTTCTCACACACCACAGTCACACTTCAAGGCCCACCGTGAGCTGCCCACCCTGCCCGACCTGGGGCCAGACCCGGGGCAGCTGGCAAGAGGACCCTGCCTTCCCAGGAAGCTCACAGTGGGGTTCTGGCGTGGCTCTGCCATGGCCCATTATCTGGGTGGGGCAGTGCCCACCCCACTGGGGAGGGGGGCTGCCCAGGCACCTGTGGAGACACCTTGAGAGGAATCCTGAAGAGGGCGGGGGGGTGGGCTCCGGGGGATGGTCAAGGCCACAGCCTGGAGGAGCTGGGGACCCTGTGGCTGGGGAAGGAGATGGGGTGGGCTGGGGCCAGGGCTGGGCACCCGCAGGCAGGGGGCCGTCACTCAGGGCGCGGTCTACTTTCTGAGGTGGGGTGGCCTGGGGAGAGAGGGAGGCGGGGGGAGCTCACGGCGGTCCTCCTCTCAGGAGCTTGCAGGGGAGGGGCCCAGCTGGGGTGGCGGGAGGCCAGGAGCACCCCGCTTCCCCCAGGGGAGGAGAGGGGACCACCACCCAGAGGAAGGTTCGTGGCCTCCTGAGCACCCACGGCCAGGCTGGCCTCCAGCGCAGGTTTCCCAGTCCATGGCTGCCAGGGCGGGGCGGTTCCAGGGAGGTGCGCTGCGCACAGGTCCTGACCCCGCGCTGATTGGTCCTGTCCTCCCCGGAGCCCCCTGAGGCCATGACTGTGTGGTTGGCACGGGAGGGGGTGGCCAGAGGTCAGGCCCCTCCCAGAGCTCACCCTAGGCAGCCCCTGAAAGATGGGAGGGGAGGTCAGTGGGCCGTGGCAGGCAGCCCCACTGCCTCCTGTGCTGCCCAGCTGGGTGGTCCACTGGCCAGGAGAGCATCTGCCGGGGCCTCCCCTGCCCAGGCCTGGGTGCCACGTGCCCACCCTCCCTGGGTGATGCGCTTTGCCCCTGCCGCCCCAGTGCACAGGTTCCATGTGACAGTGGCTCCCGGCACCAAGCTGGAGAGCGGCCCGGCCACCCTCCACCTCTGCAATGACGTCCTGGTCCTGGCCAGGGACATCCCTCCGGCCGTTGTGGGGCAGTGGAAGCTGCCTGACCTCCGGCGCTACGGGGCTGTGCCGAGTGGATTCATCTTCGAAGGCGGGACCAGGTGTGGCTACTGTAAGTACGTGGTTGCATGGGGCCCAACCCGGGGGAATCCACCCCGGGGCCACACTCAGGAGGCCTGGCCCTGGGGCTGCTCTCCTTCCTGTGGTGCCTGGGGGAGGGAGCAGAGGGCCTCTGGGTCTCCAGAGCCAGGCCCAGGGTCTCAGCCATTCCTGGCCTGTGTGTGAGGTCACCGAGCGGCAGAGCCTCCTGTTCAGATTGAATGGGAAAAAAAAAAAATTAATGGAAGCATTTTGCGAGGGCCAGTGAGCCACCCGTGGGTGCCACATGCAGAAAACACATTGAGGACCAAGTTTCCTCCTGGACACATCAGCCACTGGCCCCCTGGGCCACCTGGAGCTGTCCTCTGTGCAGTGGGATGGCCAGGCCGTGGGAAGGGGTGGGCCTGGGCCCCAGGTTTGTGACGGCTGGACACCCGGGCCCTGATCCATGCTGAGTGACCAGCCAGGGGGAAGCAGGGCCAGCGTCTGGCTGAGTGGGTGGTGGGTACTGAGGGGAGGGTACTTCACTCAGATCCTGAGGTGCCCACTGGGGCACTGTGGGGACAGGCCGAGTTGGGCAGATGGATCAGCACGTGCAGACCTGCAGGCACTGCAGGAGGGAAGAGAACCCTCGTCCCCTCTCCAGAGAGGCTGCTTGTCTGTGCTGGCTGTCATGCGGTGTGGCCTCCTGGGGCCTGGCCTCCTGTGGGGCCTGGGTGACCACAGTCAGCGTGCTCTGTGGGAGGAGTGGGGCCTGGTGAGTGTGTGCCTGGCACCAGCTGGGCTCCCGGGCCCTGATGGGCACCCCTCTGGGTGGAGGAGTGTTGGAGTGCACAGCCACCCTGCTCATACTCTCGTAGCTTCTTGGCAAAGGGAGTAGATCCTGGCCGCGTCAGGAGTGCGGTTGGCATGGGAGGTGGGTGGGAAGGGCGTGGCCCTCACCTGGTACTCGTAAGGCACCACATACCTGGCTCGGTGCGGCTGGGTCCATGAGGGTTCACTGGCCACAGGCTGTAGCAGCACCTCCATCTCTGGGCAAAGCGAATGCAGATGTGGACGCAGGTGGTGCTGGGTGCTGCCTGCTTGGCCCCAAATGGCTCAGACTCGGGGCAGCCTCTTCTTCCTTGGGAGCCCCTTGACGGGGGTTTCCTGGAGGCTGCTCCAAGCATCTGAGCAGGGAGACTGTGTCCTTGTTTCTCCGTGGAGTTCCCAGGTATCGGCTGCCACGGTCAGTGGTGGTGCTGGTGAGGCGCCTCCCACAGGGCAGCGCGGGGCCTGTTTCCTTGGAGACCTGCTGGTTGGTCCTGGACAGGACGGAGTAGGGCCCCCTGGGTGTTTTTCCTCTAGACCTCAGAATTTGGAATCCTCTCTCTTGGTATGGGTAGGCCCCTTTCCCCCATAACCCACCCAGCATGGACCAGTGGCTCCTGGGGCAGAGGCCCGGCGTGTGGGCTTCCAGAAAACCAGGTGAACTCTGAGGGGAATGTCTGTGCTGCACAAGGCCCTGGGTCAGCTCCGCGCTGCAAGAATCTGCCTGCAACTGAATCTTCTGGGTGCCGGGCGGCCTGGCCCCGGCTCCGACACTCTTGGGATTCTGTCTCTCCCAGCTCCAGGCCTTGCTCAGACCCATGGGTCACTGAGAGCTGAGCCCTGGAGTGCGCAGGTCACCAGTGGTGGCTCTGAGGGCAGGCTGAGGGCCCTGCCACTCTGCTCGCTCCTTCCTTCCAGTGGGACAGGCTGGCGGCTGCTCTGGTGGTGGACTGGGGTTGAGATGCCACAAACTCCCTCGGCCCAGCAGAGACGTGGGTGCAGCGTGGGCTGCTGGTGGTAGCCGAGGGTCGTCACCTGCCACACGTGGGCAGACCTGGCCATCCTGGAGAGGACCTGCAGGCTAGGAGGGCCCTGGGGCATCTGTCCATGTCTTGGGGCTGCTGTAGCAGGTGACCACAAACTCGGTGACCTTCATAGTCTGGGGTCAGAAATCCCAAATCCAAGGCCAGCAGGACCTCACTTAGGGCTCTGGGGAACTGGCCGCCTTCTCACAGCCTGCCGAACTGTGGCCAGGTCACACGGCCTCTGCCTTTGTCTTCTCTGTCTCCTGTAAGGACAGTGTCACCGGGTTTAGGGCCCACCTGGGTGGTCCAGGTGGTTTCCTTGAGATCCTTACCCTAATGACATCTGCAAAGACCCTTTCACATCTTTTACAGGCCACCATTCAGACACCATGTCTCTAATTTGAAACATAGCATCTGTGTCCAGAGAGCGGGAGAGGGAGGAGGGGTCATCGGAAGCTCCTAGAAGACCCTGGGGTATAGAATTAACATCCTCTCCCTCTCCCGGCCCCGGCCCGGCCCTGTGACCTCCAGGAACGATGCCTTCCAGCCCCCACCCCAGACAGCGATCCAGAGGGCAGAGGGGACGCTGGCCTGGCGGCTACTTTTCTCCACTGTTTACCTGTTTACCCAGGTGGAGGGAGGCTCCTGGCCACACCCCCAGCCAGGCTCAGTGGTGGGCAGCGGAGAGGTGGGCCCTGGGGAGGGTAGGCCTTGGGAGACAGGGGACTGCGATCCAGGCACTGGGGTGGCGAGAAGGTTCTTCAGAGAGGACCATTCAGGACCCCAGCAAGGGCTGCACGGGGGTCTCGACACCACGTGAGCCCAGCCAGCCACGGCCAGCATCACCCCGGGGTGCTAACAATCCAGCCACCTGGGCAGATCCCAGGCTGCTCCGAGCCTGTGGTCAGAGGCACCTTGGTGACTGCCCCTCGGGGATCCCACCCGGACGCTCTTGCTACCTGACTCCTCCTTACAGGGTCCCCAGGATGAGTTCTCTTGGGTCGGACAGGGCACACACTTAAGAGGACACTGATCTACTTCCACTTCTAAGTATGGACCCTGTGCCGAGCACCATGTTGCTAGGGTCACAGTCACTTGGCGGTTGGTGGCATATTATAAGGTCATGATCTGAGACCTGAGGCCACGGGTGACTCTGACACCTGAAGCACATTTTCATGGTCTCCATGGGGCCACGGGCTGGGGGACTGCAAGAGAAGGGTGGCTGGGAGGGGCGGGAGCTGGCTGTGGCCGGGCCTTGCGTGGGGCTGTCTGGGTGTCAGGGAAGAGCCCCAGCAGGTGGGAGGCCCCAGGTGCAGACAGGTCTGGAGGAAGAGGCTGGGGCCAGGAAGGCTCTGGTTGTGGTCCAGCGCGAGCAGGTGAGGCTGACCCCGGAGCAGCTGTTGGGGCTCCAGGCACACTGAGCAGGTGGTGACGGGCAGGGAGAGGGCGGGCGGAGGGGGACGGGCTCTTGCTGAGGTGCTGGTCCAGGACAGGGGCTGGGAGGGACAGTTTGTTCCTGTGGAGCCCCCACCCCATTTGGTGCTCTGCCCTTGGGCAGGGGACAGGTGCGGGTGCAAACATGCCATACAAAGCCCTGCCCCGGCCCCTTGCTCTTGGCTGTGAAATGACACTTGTGAAGGAGGCCATCTGTGTAGAGTGGTGGCCCTGCTGACTCAGGGCTCTGGGCTCTGGACCCCTGCTTTGTCCCCATGTTTGTCTTCTCTGCCGGGCTCTCAAGAGTCCACCAGGCCTAGAGCTGCCTGGCTGCCTGAGGGCCCCAGTGTCCAGGGGGTCTTCGGAGCTGGCTGTCGTCCAGGGGGGAGCCCCCTGGGCCATCCCACTGGGCAGACAAGGACACTGAGGCCAGGGCAGCCTGGGTGTTCAGGGGGCGGTTTGACATGGGCAGGCCATGGCTGCCCCGAGTCTCTGTGACTGCCCAGAGGCTGTCCCTGAGCCCCAGGACAGCACTGTGGCGGCTGCCCCTTCCCCAAGGTGGCTTCTGTCTATGGTGAGCCTGCGCTGGCAGGGGAGGCCAGCCCCCCCCAGTCCCTCTCGAGGAACAAAAGGCCCTGTTGGGCACAGCAGGCAGCAGGCGGGGCTCCATGGAGCAGGACCAGCTCCTGGGAGTGCCGACACCTGCCGGCTATCGTGGCCTCCCCTGGTGCCGGTTGGCTGCAGTCTGACTGCTGTGCGGAAGGTGGCCTGAGGGGCAGGACGAGTGTCCCCCTGCCCTCCAAGAAAGGCTGTGTAGCCTCCGGGGGCCGTGTGGGCGGTGCACCTAGCTCGCGTCTTCAAGGGTGGGTCAGGTGTGGACACAGAGCCCAGTCGCATCAGGTTCAGATGCTGTGTGACTGGTCTGAGCATCCACCGGCCTCTCGGGCTCTCTGGGCTTCTCTCTTTCCCTAGCATGGACGCTGGGGGAATGAGCTGTGCCCACAAAGCGCCAGCCTGTGCTCTGACCTTATGATTATGTGGCAGACCCTCAGGCCAGCCCCTGAGGGACTGACAGGACCCTCTGTCACCTCAGCCCCCTGGGTGGCTCCACTCCAGGGTCACTTTTCAGCCTCCCAAGTGTCTGGAGTGGCCCCTGGTACCTGGGTGGTGGTCTCTGGCTAAGGGGGCTCTGAGCTCCTGCATCACTCCTGCGCGTGGCTGAGACAGGCCCCCAGGCTCCTGTCCCACTGTCCCTCCTGTCCACACCTGCCCAAGGCGGGCCACTTGTCCTCTTCGGAGGATGGGCTGGGAGCAGGCCCTTGGGAGACACAGGGAACAGTAAGAGCCAGGCCCACCTTTGACTCCTGCGGCCAGCAGGCCACCCTGGTCAGCAGGGTCCACGGAGGCCCCCAGCCGGGCAGGGTCTTGGGCGGCACTGCCATGCTGTGCTCAGGAAGGAAGCACATGGGTAGGAGTCATCGTCATCATGAGTGCAAGCTGTGCCTGGCATCTGGAGGGGACCGTGGCCTTCCTCAGCAGAAGGGGAGCGTCCCTACCTGCTCTCAGGCCAGGGGCGGAGGAGGCTCTTGAGACCCTGCAGCATGACCCCCGGCAGGGAGCACCGCGGCCGCTCCTCCCCCCGTGGCCGCTCCTCCCCTCGTGGCCGGAGCAGGGTGTCCGTCTTGTGGCTGCAAGGAACTGCCTCAGAGCCGGGGCGGCTGGCGCTCTGCCCCGCGTGTCCAGGCCCTTCCCACCCCGGCTCTGTCTCCCCACCTTTCACAAGGCAGGAGCCACCTTGCGCCCGTGGACCCCACGGCCGCCTTAACTCTGGGGTCACTCGGTCACTCGGGCCGTGGCATCGGGCTGGCGGTGGGCTGCCAGGGCCAGGGTGACTGCAGCAGGGTAGGCGGCCGCTCGTGGGGCGGCTGCTTCTCAGAGGGCACCGGGGGCCGCGGGCCACTCTGATGTGGTCCCTGTCCACCAGGTGTCGGCCTTGGGTTGGGACTGTGGACAGACGAAGCGCCTTGTGGGGAAAAGTGCTGGGTCCCCAGAGCGTCCTGGGTGAACTGCTGGCTTCCCGAGAAGGGCCGGGGCTGGGGACGGGCCTCGGACGCTCTGTGACCTGAGCCTCAGTCAACGGGAGTCCAGGAGCCAAGGGGAGTGAGTCCGCCTCCTGGTGGGGGTGACAGGAGCCTGGGCGTGTTTGTGGGGTGGGTGGCGAGAGGGGGCTTCACAGTGGCTGGTGGCAATTGTCCTGGGAGGCCTTGCCTTGCTCTGAGGGCTCAGGTAGACTGGCCCTCGGAGATGGACGTCCTCCAGGCCCCTGGAGTCAACCCTGCCGCCATGGTGGGGTAGCTAGTGGGACTGCCACATGGGCACTTGGGGCCCGGACTGGCGGCTGCTGTGCGCAGGGCCTGCCCAGTGACCATCTCCTGAGGGCAGGACTCTGCAGGCTGAGTGGACGCAGGACTGGCTCACCCTTCCGTAATGTGGCTTTTTATAGTCGGGGGACTGAGTGTCCTGCTGCCTGTGCCAGCTGTCGGGGAGCTTGGGACTAGAGGCCAGGCCCTCTGTGAGGGCTGGGCCAGGCTGGCGGAGCCTCATGCGGGTGGGGTGGCGGGGGAGCAGGGTGCCAGGGAGTGGGCCCGTGAGATGGCCTGTGTTGGCCTGCTGGCCTGCCCTCCTGGGGCACGTTCCTGTTCCACTGCCCAGCTCGAAAGTCCTATTCATCAGAGAGTTTCGGAGTCAGTCCATTGTCCCCCTGGGTGGGTATCGAGGAGGGCACCACCTCAACCCATGCCACTCTGCTTGTCAATAGCAGCCCCTCGCCCAGAGCAGGACTAGAAGCTTGTGGTGCCAGGTACTGCTCAGTGGGCCCACTGACCTGGGCTTGCGTCCACCTGGGCTGTGTGACCATGTATAAGTAGCTTGCTCTCTCTGGGCCTCAGTCTCCTCATATAAAGCAAGAATGGTACTGTTATAAGTCTCCTGATTTGGAGGTATCACGCGATGAAGCGTCCACAGTTGTGGGGGCTGCTCTCCCCTGCTTACCCTAGCATGGTCACCCAGAGGCCCGGGAGCCCTGGGGGGTGGGCCAAGTCCCTGGACCTCACGGCCCACATTCAGTGAAGGCAGAGAGCGACTGGGAGGCAGAGCTTTGAACACAGAGGTGTCTGGACTGCCCCTGCCTGGTCCTGCGCAGCTTTGGGGCCTTTCTCTGGGCCCTGGGCAGAGGCTCCAGGGGAGGGCTTCTCCAGTGCCGACTGTGCTGAGTGTCCGCTCCACGTGCCGGGCTCAGCAGGTGGGTGCCGCCAGCCTGGCCTCCCATTCACGCGGCCAGCGAGGGATTCCATTCACCCTGGGCCGGCTGGGCGCCCGAGCCGGGCGGGGCACGTGGCCTGGGGCCTCCCTGCTGACTCACTGCCCAGGCCTCTGCAAGCAGGTCCTCCGCCCAAGTGACCCCAGGCTGATGGCACGGGTCCTTCCTTCTACTGAGTGGGCAGCAGGGAGGCAGCCCAGGCACAGCCATGACCTCAGGTGCATCTTTCTATGACAAGGCTGGGGAGAAGGGAGGCTGCTCACCGTGGGGAGGTCAGCGTTGGCCACTTGAAGGCCGTCTGTGGGGCGGATGCCTTCTGTGTGGGTGAGGAGCTGAAGTGAGGGCCACTGGTGTGACTGGGGTCAGTGGTGGCCATTCTGGGATGTGAGCCCCGCTCCTGGACACCGGAGGGAGCCCTGACTGGACACGCCTCCTCCACCTCAGAACCACTCTAGAAGGAGTCTCTGGTCTTCTGGTGCATTCGAGGAAACCGAGGCACAGAGGGCTGGAGCTGACCACTCAACTGCCTGTGGCAGAGGGCGGCTTGAGGCGGCCTTGGTGGAGGGACGCACCCTTGGACTGTGCGTCCAGGGCAGGACACCCGGTTGGTGCAGGATCACTGTGCACCATCTGCGCAGTGAGGCCTGGGAGAGGGCTGCCCCTGAGCTGCCCTGCCGTGTCCCCAGGCAGTGCCCAGATGCAGCCACAGCCCCGTGCCCCGGGGATGGCTCTGTGGGGAGCCCTTCAGGCCTGGTGCCTGCAGCCTGTGGCCGCCGTGACAGCACGTGTGTCTGAAGTGTGCGTGGGGTTCCTGGGTGCAGAGGGACAGGTCCAGGGCTCTGGGGACGTGGCTTCACAGGCCAGGGGAGCCGGGTCCTGTGGGTTCTGACTGGATGTGCAGCCCCACCCCGTCTGCAGACCCTGTGCCCCCACCCCGTGCTGGGCCAGGCTGACCTCGCCTCGCTGTCCTCATTCTGCAGGGGCAGGGGTCTTCTTCTTGTCCTCCGCCGAGGGAGAGCAGATCAGCTTCCTGTTCGACTGCATCGTCAGAGGCATCTCCCCAACCAAGGGCCCCTTCGGGCTGCGGCCAGCCCTCCCAGGTGTGTGCGGGAGTGTGGCCTGGTGAGGTCAGATGGGGAGGCCATGCTTGGGGTGGGGCCACTGGTGTCCAGTGGCCATCCTGACTCAACCCAGTTAGTTGGCTGTCCTTTCCTGGCCTGGGTGGTGCCACCATGCTGCTGGGCAGCCTGGGGTTCTGAGGGGTCAGCTAGTGTGTCTTGGGGTGTGGATCACACCTGCAGATCCTTCCTCCATGGGCTCTGAGCCTGGCCCCAGGGAGCAGTTGGGACAGTTTAGCCACAGCTGCCCCTGGCTGGGCCGTCACAGGGCTGTGATCTTGGAGGCCTCCCCCATGGTGGTCGAGGAGTCTTCCTGAGGTCGCTGGCTCGTGAGCAGCTGATCTGACTCTGTGGCTCCAGGTTAGGATAGCTCGTCTGGGCCCCGTGTGGAGGCGGGAGCAGCCCGGAGTTTGGCTGGGGCGTGGGTCTCAGGGTGGGCAGTCAGGGTGGGCAGTCAGGGTGGGCACCAGGGTTGCACTAAGCAGGCTTCTTGTCCCACCGTGCTCCTTGCTTGCTGCTGGGTGTCCTGCTTCAGCCGGACTCTAATCAGGGACGTTGCTGGGTCAAGTGGCCACATGGTCCAGGTACTGAGGGGCCCAGAGCAGGGTTGGGCTCCTTCAGGGTCCAGCAGGTCGGGGCAGGATGAGCTCTGGCTCCCCTGGCCCCAGCAGGGACAGCACTTGTCCATTATTTAGCTGCAGCCACATGGTGGGCAGAGAGCTCACGTTGGCTGCCCCGTTCTGTGGGCAGGAGAGCAGAGGTTCCCACGAGGACCGAGTGGCAACAATGAGCTGCCCACCCCAGAGCAGCTGCAGGTGGGGAGCTGCTGAGGAGGGCGGGTGCCCAGGCCAGGGCCCTTCCTGCTTCCCTGGGGCTCGCCTGGACAGTGCAGCAGCGCCACCTGCTGGTGTCCTGCCCTGAGGTTGCAGGCCGACCCGAGTGGTGTGTGCTCAGGGCCTGGAAGTGGACAGTGCATCTCCCCCAGAGGCCCTGCTGTCCTGCTCACAGGCAGCATGTCTGCCAGGTGCCCTCAAGTCTGGACACGGGGCTCTGTGGCTGCCAGGGTTCTGGTTCAGGAGGGACTTGGGCTTTGGTGGGCTGGCTGTGGGCAGCAGGTACGTGGGACCCACGAGGGATGACACCCCGCCTGGGTGGGAAAAGGCTCCTGCCTCCCAGGTTCAGAAAACACACAGGTGATGGCCAGAGAGGTCGAATCCCCGGGCCTCTGCCATGAGCAGAGCTGCAGTGCCAAGGGTCAGCAGGTGGCGAGGAGCCTGGGGCGCCAAGCAGGGCTCAGCCCAAGCGCCCCAGCACAGCGGGCAGCCACAGGGCTGGAGTGGCGTCTCACTGAGACGGAGGGGGAGCCCTGTTGGGAAGGGGTGCAGCAGACCAGGTGAGCAGATCTCTTGTGGAAGGGGGTCGGCAGGACAGAGAGGGCCGGTTGTTTGGGAGAGAGCCTGATACCTTGGTGGGGTGGCGAGGGAGTACAGCTGGCTCAGGGGGCTGTTCATGGACAGGGGACCCAAGCTGGAGATTGGGGCTGTCCATGGGCACAGGGGCCCAAGGTGGGCAGAGGGATGACTGTCCCAAGGGGCCCAGGATGGGCCACAGGGACCTGAAGGGGGAATTCTGTGGGTAGTGCCCGGAGCTGGGGCTGCAGTGCAGGAGGATCTGGGGCTGAAGCCGGTCACCACTGCCGCAGTCTGCCTGGGCACAAATCACGAGCCACTCAAGCAGGAACAAACTTTATTTTCCGAACTCCCGCAAACGCCACCCACGTAGCCCTCCTAGGCACAGCACACACCAACCGGAACTCCCCGGGAACGCCCCCCACCCCGGGTGCACATCATCTTAATGGCTCGCCTCTCAACCATTACTTCTGGCAAAATGCCAGGGGCCATTCCCACTCAGCTGTGGCCACTGGTGCTGCATTAGGGTGTGGCTGCAAAAGGCACCCAGGGACATCCTGGCAGCATGTGGCCTGGGACTGACCCTTCTCTCTGCCACAGACCCGGGCCCCGGGGGCTCCTCAACCTTGGAGGAGCGAGCGGCCCAAGAAGCCCTTGAGGCCCTGCAGCTGGAGAAGCGGCTGAGCATGCTCTCGCATTCCGGCCGGCCGAGCAGCGGAGGTAAGGCCAGTGGCCTGGCCTGGGCCACAGGGACTGGACTCTGAGCTTGCCATTCCAGTCAGGGGTCAGGCAGCCGTCTATATGTATCCACTGTCACTTTTTCCTTCTCTGCCCCGAACCTGCAGCCATCTGGCCAATCATTATCCCTCCATTGACATGGTCTCCCTCCTGCCCCTTCCTTCCTTCCTTCCTTCTCCCTTCATCCAGCACCCACCCACCCACCCATTCATCCATGCACCCACCCATTCATGCACCCATCCATCCATCCACCCACCCACCCATTCATGCACCCATCCATCCATGCACCCATCCATCCACCCACTCACACATCCTCCCTCCCATCCATTCATCTACTCACCCATCCATCCACCCGTCCCTCCAATCCACCCACCCATCCATCCACCCCTCCACCCATTCATTCATCCATCCTCCCACCCACCCACCCACCTACCTATCCATGCCTCTCCCTCCTGCTTACTCCTTCCCTCTCTCCTGTGCACCCACTCGCTCACTCACTACCCCACGGATATTTGGTAAGTGCTGGCAGCAGGTGCTGAGGGGACCCTGCCCACCACGTGCTGGGTGCAGACCTCCTGCACATTCCTTTGAAGGTCTGTGCTCAGACAAAGTCTCAAGGGCAGAGGAAACTGCTGCAGGAGCAAGGCTCCTCCTCAGCCACGGTGGCAGGAGATGGACAGAGGGGTGGGCAGTCCAGTGAGGGTGGCCAGCTTGTCAGGTGGCCACACCAGTCTTCCCAGGCCGGAGCATGGGCGCTCAGGTGGCCTTACCATTACCCTCTGCTGCCTGTCCTCTGGGATGAACAGAGGGAGAGTGGGCCTGTCCCCTCCTGTCCAGGCCTCCCCCTGAGCAGGAGCCCAGGGTTGTAATGAGCTTTCTTGCCCCCTCCCCCGGGGGGCACCCTGAGTTCTCACTCTGGAGCCCTGGACGTCAGCCTGGCTGAGCTGAGATGGGAGGATGCAAAGATGGATTCAGCTGCCCAGGGGCACAGACTAGGGGAGGCAGGGGCCTGGCCATGCAGGAGGGCAGCAGGGCGGGAGTCCCAGGGACGTCCTTGTCCTCAGGGGACTTCTGGTCCAGCAGGGGCAGGCAGAGGCATGGGCTCTAGGGAGGGTGTGGGGAGGGAGGCTGGGTGCTGCTTTCTACTGTCCAGTGCCCTTCAGCACCTCAGAGCCCTGCTCTGTCTTAGGGGACGACCGCAGCCTGTCCAGCTCCTCCTCCGAGGCCAGCCACTCTGACACCAGCGCCAGCAGCAGGCTCACCCCGTGGCCGGAGCAGTCCTCGTCCTTGGCAGGCTCGTCACAGGAGGGGCCGGGGCTGGCGGCTGCCCAGGCCCCCGGGGAGGCCACGCTGGGTGCCTCAAGGCTGCCCCCGAAACCGTTGCGGCCGCGGCAGCTGCAGGAGGTCGGCCGCCAGAGCTCCTCGGACAGCGGCATCGCCACGGGCAGCCACTCCTCCTACTCGGGCAGCTTCTCGTCCTACGCTGACAGCAGCCTGGACGTGTGGCGGGCGGGCGGCGAAGAGTGCGGCTCGCTGCTCAGCCTGCCGCCAGCCGCAGGGGCTCCTGAGCCCAGCCTGTGTGCCTGCCCACCCGGGGTGGCGGAGTACCAGGTGCCCACCTCTCTGCGGCACCACTATGACACGCCCCGCAGTCTGCGCCAGGCCCCCCGGGACCCGAGCGCAGCCTCCCAGGGTGGCCCCGACCATGGCGCGACCACGGACTTGGGCAGTCAGGCGTTGGCCGGGTGTCCTTCCGGCTGGCTGGGCACAAGACGGCGGGGACAGGCGACAGAGGCCCCAGGCAGTGAGGCCACACTGCCCAGCCCAGCCCCCGGCGAGCCCTGGGAAGCAGGCGGGCCCCACCCCGGGCCACCTCCAGCTTTCTTTTCGGCATGTCCAGTCTGTGGAGGACTCAAGGTAAACCCCCCTCCCTGACCGCAGGGCGGCCCGCGGCTGTGAGGGGCTGGACTTAGCCCCTGGTCAGGAGGAGGCGGAGGGGGCCTCTCTGCAGAGGCAGCGCTCTGACGCGTTTTGAGAAGCCCCTGGACCTGTGGAGAGGGTGGGGTGGGCAGCGTCCCCGCTGTCCTCCCCCAGGAGGGGCTTTGGCTGCCCGTGGAGGGTCCAACTTGGACCGTGTGTTCTAGAAAGCGAGGCTCTGGCGGGGCGGGGCGGGGTCGGCAGAGCCCCCAGGCCCAGCTTCCAGTGAGGATCGGGCACTGGGGCTTTAGGTGGTGCTGGCGCCCAGTGGCCAGGGCTGCTGCTGAGGACTGACCTCATCCGGCCCCCTGCTCACTCCTGGATGACCACTGCTCCCTCCCACTCCGGGTCATCTCTGCAGTGCACAGACCCTGCTTGTAAATCGCCCCCCAGCATTGGGGACACCAGTCCCGGGAGCCGTCTCTGCAGGGGAACTTCTCTGGGCACCGTTGGTGTGTGGTCACTTCTCATATTTACCTGGCAGCACCCACAGGTGGGCATGACGTCCCGCCCCGGGGAGGAAACTGACGCTCAGGAGGCTCCTTGGCTTCTGGGGTGTGAGTCTGTGGCCGCCCCCTCTGCTCCCTGGGGCCAGGCTCTCCTGAGCCCTGGCCGGGCTCTGGGCAAAGGCTGCAGGGCAGAGGTAGTGGAGCCCGAGTCCTCCAGGCGGCGCAGGCTCTTGAGGTCAGCCTTCCAGAGGGTCCCTTTGAAAGTCCCCAGGGGAAGTGGGGTGTGGCTCAGTGGTAGAGCACCTGCCCGACCTGCAGGGCCCTGGGCACCGCAAAACAAGTCAGCAAACGAGTGGATAATCCAACAAGTATACATTTAAAATAAATTCAGAACGTGGACAAAAGCCCCCTGTGCCCTCTGGCTGGGACCAGGAAGCTGGTGGTCAGGGCTGGGTGGCGGTGCCCCAGGCCGTCTGGGCTCAGTGCTGTGGCTCCTCGTCCCGGCTCCGCTTTCCACGCCAGGCTGCCCGCGCCCGCTGTCCTGGACACCCTGGAGGCTGTGTCCTGCACGTCCGCAGCGGGCTGGACCCTCGGGCAGCTTGCCTGGAAGCCTGCCTCTCACCTCCTCTTCGGCTGACCTGTTGTTGCTCCTCTGCTTTTTTGAACCTGACACTGTTTGTACACGTTCTCCGACTGGAAATAAAACTTTCTTTTCTTACTGCCTCGTCTGTTCTGTGTGGCCAGCCTCCCCGCCTCCCCGCCCCCCCCCCCCTAGGGAACCCAAGCCTCAGACTGCAGCTGAGGCCCGAGGGATGTGCAGCGGGCGGGGAGGGGGCTCCCGGGAGCCTGGGCCTGGGTGTGTGGAGGGTGTGCAAGGTGTGCGGCTGTGTGCCGTGTGGCGCGTTCCTGCACGTTCACTGGGAACCACAGTGGGGTCCTCGCAGCCCCTCGGGCTCAGGACGGGGCTCCCAGCACCCAGGTGAGGAAGGCTGCTGACCTCCCGGGCCCTGTGAGTCTGGCGTGGGGGCTCCTCGGGGCTCTGCCTCCGCTGCCCGTTCTGTCGAGCCTGCTCTGCCGTGGGGAGTGGGCTCACCCCAGCGGCCCCTGGGAAGGACAGGCATGGGGGTTGAGCTCGGACCACACACACCATCTGCTGGCTGGTGGCCCCACGAGTCACGGCACCTCTCTGAGCCTCAGTTTCCTCTTCCTCTGATGGGGTGACAGGGCCTGCCTCACTGGGCTGCACTGAGGGTCCACTGGAGGTCACAGGAGTCGCCCGGAGGCACCCAGGGTGGTCTTCCTGCAGAAAAAAATGGGTCTCCCAGGCTGGGGAGCTGGGGCCCTGGAAGTGAGGCCCTCTCTGCCACAGCCTGGTCCTGGCTACTGTGGCCCCTGAGCCCCCTCTCCCACGGCCAGCCGTAGGGAGGGAGTGGGAGTTTGGAGTCTGGCCAGGGCCTCTCGTGTCCACCCTTAGTCTGAGGAGACCTGAGTTGTATTAAGGTCCTGGGCAGGTGGGGGCTGGGCTGGAGGGCACTCAAAGGAGGCCCTTGGGGGCTGCTGGGGGCTGTGGTACCTTGTGAGATGAGTGGCCTAGGAGAACCCAGGTGCCCCTTCAAGTGTCCCTCAGTCTTCCCAGGACTCGGGGACCTGCAGGGCAGGGCTGGGGTCTCAGGACGAAGCAGGAACCTTGCCTTCATTCACTCCCTGTCCCTGGGTGACTGGCTGGCCGGTCTTCAGCTGCCCAAGGTTCTGCCCGCTGCTGAGCAGCAGCCAGCCACCAGCCTTGGCTCCTCACCCATGGGAGGGTGACGGGTGGGCTGGGGCTTCTCAGGGCTGGGGACATCCAATTGGCAGACGCTGTCTCCTGAGCCACCTGCCAGTCACACTTGCTCTGCTGCAGGTGTGGGGAGCAGGTGACCTGCCTGTGCTTGTCCCCATTGCGCTCCACCCACACCAGGGTCTGGCTTGACCCTGCAGAACTGGACCCCCGAGTGAATGCTATGTGCGGGTGCTGCTGAGGACTCGGTCCTGCCCGTTGATGGGCCTCTGGGGGCGGGTGGCCGGCGGCTGCATCAAGGTGCCCTCAGAGGCTAGTGTGTGTCGGCCTCTCGTCCTGAGGCCCCAGCCCACAGCAGCCGGTGCAGTTGGCCAGTCAGCTCGCTCAGGGGCATGGCTCCAGCCTGGGTCTGGGACCACCCACTTCATGGGCCTGGGCCAGCGCTGGGTGCCTTGGCCTGCTTTCCAGCTCCCACTCCTGCCAGGTTGCCCATCAGAGGGTTAGGGATATGGGATCTTTCTGGCCACCTAGGCTGGGGTCCTGGACCGAGAGGGCCCTTTCCCTGAGGGCTCAGGGTGTCTGCAGCTGGACGTGGGGTCCGGTGCTGTGGTCCACCTGCCACAGCTCCTCCCAGGTCTGCCTGTACCCTGGTCATGCTCTGCCCATCCGGGGGCTGCTCACGTCACGGGGGGCTCCAGGTGGCTCTCTAGACCAGGAGCTCTTGAGAGCAGGGCCGCAGGCTGAGTGCAGTGTGGCCACTGTGGACCCCGCGTCTGTGCCGCAGCTGTTCAGCGCTGCTCGCCCCAGATGGCTGATGTGTCCCAGTTAAGTCGTCAGCCACAGTGGGGACTGGATTTGCCCCGGGGGTCCTATACTGGCCAGTCGGCTCAGAGTGCCCCTGTCCCCAAGTGCCTGAGGCCTCCAGCTCCCCTGCTGGCTGTCACTTGGAGCCACCCAGCAGGGCAGTCAGGGCTAGTGGGCAGTTGGATCCCAGAGCCTGGAAGATAAGGAGTTGCCCCCCAGGCTGGTTTACCCTGTAGGCAGCCCAGTCCCCCTGACCTGTCCCTCTTGGGGTTTCTGTCCTGGTTTTGGGGCCCAGGGGTAGGATGAAGGGAGTCAGATGCACACACTGACCAGTGTTCTTTTTGGTCTAGGGAGCGGCTGCCTCACCCCCTGGACCCACGATGACCCATCCAGGTAGGCACCTGGCTTTGGAGTCCAGCTCCTCACAGCGCCCTGCTGAGAGGGAAACGGGCGTTAGACGGGCAGCTGACAGGCCAGCTGGAAAGTCAGGCCTGGTGGGCAGGGCAGTATGTGGCTGGCCGGCCCTGGGCAGCGTGGTGCAAGTGGGTAGTGGGGTGTCCTCGCACAGGAGGGGGCAGTGGGGGAGCCCAGGTAGGTGGCCCCTGAGCATGGCGGGGGCATCTCTCAGCAGCAACTGCTGGGGCAGCCCGTGGGCAGCTGGACCGTGGTCTGAAATTTGGGACTCACAGCCTTGGGGCAGTTGGTTCCTAAGCCCTCAGCAGACAGAGAACAGATGGGAAGCACTGACCCGAGGGGTCACCAGCTGCCAGGGGAAAGGGAGACCTGCCGGGGAGGCCATGTATCCTGGAGACTTAGTGAGGGGCAGGGCAGCTCTGGGGCCCTCAAAGGCTCTGAGACCAGGCTTGGCCTCTAATAGACCTGCCCACAGGCCCAGGCGTCCGCTCAGGCCCCTTGCCCTCCTGCTATGCACCCCTTCTTAGCCTGCACCCCTTAGCTCAGTCTCCCTCTCCAGACCACCTGCCCTTGTTCCAAGGAAGGCTGGGTCCAGCCCCTGGTGTGGGGATGGTCTGCGGCAGCTGTGGGACTGTGTGGCCCAGCCTGTCCTCGAAGCCAGGGGCGGGGGGCAAACAGGGCTTCGGCTAGGCAGGCAGCGAGCTGACCCTGGCTCTCCCTCCATGGCTGCTGGTGTCCCAGGAGGAGACTTTTGTGCCCAAGATGGAGTCCCCGCTCGACAAATGCAGAGGGTTTACAGAAACCCCTCACCTTGGATCAGGTTTTCTGAGACTGGAAACACTCAGCCCGGCCTTGCTTGACAAGGACGAAGGACACTCAACTGCCCCCGCCAAGCCAGCCAGCTTCCTGTCTCAGGTCCTGTGCAGCCGCTTGATGTCACATGACCAGGACAGGGTGTGAGTGTCAGGGCACTTTCCCTGCACCCTGGGGAGCAGATCTCCAGCAGGGGACCAGTCTGCTCGGCCAGGACTCCCATGAGGTGGTCACCATGACGAGCAGAAGCCACCCTTTCTGGCTGAGGCCCGGCTCGGCTCTGCTCAGGCCCCTGGTGCCCCTGCACACAGCGTGGCAGTCTGCCCCGGGCCTGCCCTCCTGCTCTCTGCTCTGGAGCCTTGGTGGGCCTGAGTGGGGTCTCTTCCTTGCTGTCGGGCCCAGGGCTGCATCAGGGTGGTGGGGAGTCCAGTCCTCGCTGGAGGCCACCGTCCCGCCCCCGCTCAGTGCAGGCTGCGTCTGAGACAGCTGGGGGCTGCTCCTGGGAGCTCGCTCTCCAGCGTCGAGCAAGCGCCCTTCCCCGAGCTGCGCCCCTCCAGGAACGCAGGTGTGGGCTGCCTCAGGAAGAGGAAGGGCCGGGGGGCGGGCAGAGCTTGCACGTCCTCCTAAAGGAGTCTTATCCTGAGAGGGTCCCGCTACAGCAGAGGTCCCCAGGGATCCTGGGCAGAGCCGGGTGGGGCGAGGACTCCTGGCTGCTCAGGTGGAAACAGGTGGTCAACCTGACCCACCTGGGCCCCGTCCCTGTCCTGGCCGTTGGCTGTGTGGCTTGGGAATTTGGGGTTTCTGCCGCAGCCTCCCCCTGGGAGCCAGCAGGCAGCACATCCAACCCAGTCTCACTGGGGGCAGTCACGGGAGGAGGGCCAGGCCCACGTGTGGACTTCCAGGTGGCACTTCATGGACAGCAGAAGCCAGGGGGCCTGTATCAGGGACATGGTCAGGCAGCCCAGCACCCTTGGCCAGAGACTGGCAGAGCCAGGCCCCTTTCCTGGGCAGGCGGTTCAGAAGCAGGCCCACTGCGGGTGCTGGCAGTCCCCAGCTGAATCCGGGGCCTGGGGTGCTGTGCTCTGGGGCAGGGCCTGCCTTGGTCTGAGTCCTGGGCCTGGCTGTGCCTCTGGGACACTGGCCCTCCAGGAACGGAGCGAGGGAACGGCTTCATCTGCCCACCCCCTTCAGTGGCGCTTTGTCCACCCCATCCCATGTGGCTGTCCTTGCCCCACAGGGACCCTGGGGACAGGTCTTCTGTGGCCCAGGGTCCTCCCTGTGGGACGCTAGCCTGTGGAGAAGGGGCCAGGGTGCATCCCAGCAGCCTGTTAACTTGGGACTCAACCACAAGCCCTCCCTGCCTGGCACGGAGAGTCCCCTCTGTCCCAGCTGTACTCAGGAAAAGTCCCCACGGGGACTCACCTATCCAGAGGGGTCCTGAGAGCCTGTGGCAGGCAGGAGGTCCTAGAGGGACATCACAGAGAAGGTCGGGCGAGGACAGGACGGGGGCGTGATCCTGGCCTGGGTTGGGGGATTTGGAGGCCTGGGAGGACAGAGTGAGGGTGGAGGGACCCACAGAGAGCTGGTGTCGGGGATCCATGGAGGCCAGGTGGTCTCAGGATGGGGGGGGCCCAGCCAGAGGTGGACGGTCCAGGAAATGGGGGAGTCAGGCTAGGTCCAAGACCCAGGAGAGGTGGGGGGTTGGAGGAGGGGCTGGGCCATGGTGGGAGGGGCAGTTGTTTGCTGGACAGTCCTTGGGTGGGCACAGCCCTGGGCACCTCAGAGGACTCACCGTCCCTCCTCTCCAGGACCCCCAGGGCCTGTGGCTGCTGAGAGCCCAGGGCTGGAGAGGCGGCGCAGCAGCACACCCACCTACGTGAACCTCCCCGTCAGCCCCTCCTCCAGACAGCGGCTGCACTACATGGGCCTGGAGCTGCAGGAGGCCGGCCTGGGCGTCCGAGGTGGGTCCCCACGGGAGACCCACAGAGCTGGGCCAGCCTCAGGGCTTGACCCCAGCACATCAGCCCTGGCCAGGGAGCTCTTCCTACTGGTGCCCAGGTGACATTTCCAGGGCAGCCCTGACCCCCAGCAACGTCCAGCTGAGCCCCTCTGAGGCTGCGGGCCCAGGCCCGGGTCCTGTCTGGCTGGGGGACTGGTGTGGGAGGGAAGGAAGTGGCAACAGGGCACCCGTCCAGCCCCTGTCACCGAGGGGATGAGCACTTGCGGGCTGGGCTGGGCAGCTGGGCGGGTGCCAGCCCTGGCCTGCTCTCTGCTAACGGCCGGCGGGCTGCTCGCAGGGGCCGGCCCCGCCCACTACGCCCAGATCGACCTGGCGGCCACGGAGACGGCGCAGCGGGTGGGGGCCCAGCACGCGCAGGCCCGGGAGGAACGGCTGTCCGAGCGGGAGCAGTGGAGGAAGGGGGCCCGGCAGTGACGCCCAGACCTGGACAGCTGGACGTCTGGCCCAGCCAGGTGGGCCGTGCGCTCTGTGGGGAGCCCTCGTTGTGAGGGGCCCTGGCCTCTGTGGGCTGGGTCGAGGCCGACTCCTGGCCTCCCAGCTGCAGGGGAGGGCACGACTGGTCTCGTGCCCAGACCCAGCTGGAAGACCTGGGCCCGCGCTGGTTCATTCCCATCCTCCCTCTGGCCAGGTCTCCCTCCTCACTGGCGTCCAGGGCTGACCCTTCCCTTGGCCTGACACGTCCCTCTGGACCACGGGCTGCTGAGGCTGCTCAGGCCCCTGACAGCACCTCTACCACCTGGGGCTGGAGTCGCCAGGGGAGAGTTCGAGAGTAGCTTCCACAGCCTGGGATGACAGGTGACAGCCGCGTCCCAGGAAAAGGCATGTCCCTAGACAGGGCAGGCAGCTCCTGAGACTTGCTGCCCCAGGCTCCCTGTAGTGTGGCCTTTGAGCCACCCCAGGGCTCCCACCTGCTGGGCCACATGCCCTGTGCCCTGGGATGGAGGCCACAGCAAGAACAGGAGGGCTGTCCCACTGGTCAGTGCCAGTGGGACTCCTACCTGTGTAGGACTGACTGACCTCAGGGCTCCTCTGTGTCATATGAAGTTCAACACTCTCCCGTTGTTTATTTACTTCTGGTACCAGGGATTGAACCCAGGGGCACTCGACCACGGAACCATATCCCCAGCCCTATTTTGCATTTTATTTAGAGACAGGGTCTCTCTCGATCCTCCTGCCTCAGCCTCCAGAGCTGCTGGGATCATGTGTGCCCTACGCCGGGCCCTGTTCTATTTTCAACATGTGTAATTCCCTGAAGGTGGGTTCATGTTTGGGCTGGGGGTTCTGGGGTAGGGGTGGAGGGAGCTGTCTCCCCCTCAGTGGAGCTGAGTTCAGGTCTCCTCGTGGGAACTTCTTCCAGATGCGCCCATGGCCTTGGGGGAGTCTGTGGCAATTCCGTGATTCAGACACTGGCGGGAAGTTTCCAGGTGTAAACTTGTGTGTGCCCCAGCCCACAGTGCTGGTGCTGTGGGTGAGGGGCTCCCCTAGGACAGCCACAGCCAGTCTTGGTCCTATTTCTTCTTTTGTCCCTCCCTTCCCCACCCAGGAGGCCCCAGTGGTCCTACGGGGATCAAAGGCAGCTGGCGCTCCTCTTCTTCTGGGGTTCCGGGTGTCGGCAGGTCCCGGAAGGTCATCCCTCCCTGCTCTGCCAGCCGCACATGTCCCCTGAGCGGACAAGGGCTGAGCAGGTGGACTCTGGAAGCCAAGGTCGGGGAAGCAGCTCAACTGTGGTCAGCTGGAGGGGGGCCCTGGAGGCTGCCCCACCAGAACACGGTGGGGACAGGCGCCCGGCCTAGAAGATCCCTTTTGCCCCTGCCCAGATCTTCTTAAAGATGAGCGTGGCCATCTTGTCCACTGGGGGCCCAGTGCGGACCCTCTGCCTGTCTGGGGCCTCCCACTACCGTGTGCAGGGCCGCCTCCTGGTCTACAGCACCGTCACCTCCATCCACGGCCATGCTGGCTTGGTGGGTCACTGGTTGTGGGCACTTAAGTTGACCTGAGTTGCCCTTTTGCCTTTTGGACAAGGCACCTGCCCTGATACTCCTGGAGTTGCTGATGGGATCCCAAGCCAGCATGGAGGGCAGGCATGGGGACAGGCAGGGTGTCCCTGCAAACTCTGAGCTAAGCTGGGGTCTGCACCATGGGAACTGTGTGTGCCTGGCCCCAGTGCTCCAGTCCTCCCGTGGAGCAGCTCAAAAGGGACCAGGCCTGGGTCTGCAGCCTGCAAGGACCCAGGGCAGGAAGACCAGGATGAGGTGACATGGAGGGACACAGCACAGGAGGGGAATGTGAAGGCCAGCCCAGTGTGTCACTGCCAGATAGGCATCCAATAGAGCCCAGGGACCAGAATCCCACCAAGGACCCCTTCCCAGGCTCAAGACGAAGGCCAGGGTCCTGGGATCTCCATGGTCACCTGAGAGCCCTGGCGCCACCTCCTGGCTGCAAGAGCTCTGCAGAGAGGACCCTGAGGTCAGGCTCCAGACCCCACCCAGCTCTAGAGGAAGGTCAGGCATTTGGCCATGTGGCTCTGGCCTCCAATGGTCATCCTGGCTGGCAGGGTCCCCAGCACTCCCTAAGGCTGCCTGAGCTAGAGGTCACCCTCCCTCACAGAAGCCCTCCTGCAGACCCATGTGTGCTTAGCCCCTCCCTGTGGCACCTTGGCCAGGCCAGGCCTAGCTGAACCTGCCCTCTGGCCCCCTGCTGGCCGCCCGGCTGCACATCACACTCCCAGGCAGAGGGGAGACAGCCACATCACGCCCACACACCCAGGCCTGGGTAGAGCCGCTCATACCCATGACAGAAATTGGCATCCTGCCACTTTATAAGGAGGCATCTGAGGCTCTGGCCAGCCAAGGCCATAGGGCTGTGGACCCAGGTGGGCCTGAGCTGGCACGTGTTGCCTACAGGAGAGGCCAGGAGGGCCTGCCGGAGCAGGGATGAAGGACCCTGGCAGGGGACGGGGCCACAGCTATTTGGGGAGGAGGCTGCTGGGGGTGGTGGGTGGGAAGGAGGTTCACCTGACAAACGTGAGCAAGAGAGAGTCGGGTCTAAAGAACGTGCTCAGGGCCCCGCGAACTGGTGGGAGTGGGAGGGGCTGTGTCTTAGCCCCGTCAGTGGTGACCGCCAGCTACACCTAGGGCAGCTCATTCCCATGCCGCTCCAGGTAACCACTGTCTCACGTGGATTGAAGACCCACGATGAGGGTGTCTAAGAGCAGGCCAGTGGCCTGTCCTCTATGCGGGCTCAGGTGCAACCGTGGCCTGGACACTCGGGTGCTCTGTGCTGCAGACAAGGCAGCTGTGTGGAACCTCCTCGCGCCTGCCCCATGTGGGCAGGCAGCTCACCCCGCAGGGCCAGACGGGTGTGCGAAGGATGTGCCAGGCTGGGAAGATTGACATCTCTGACTTTCCTAGATTTTGTTCTCGTAGCTGACTGTAAACGTGGACAGCGCCAGAGCACGGGAGATTCCCAAAGACTAGGTCCATGTAAGCTCGGCCATCAGGGCCAAGGTGACCTCCACGTCCTCACAGCCAGCGAGGCGGGGCACGTTTGCAGAGGCTGGAGCTGAAGGAGCACTCCCTGGCCGGGACGTCCTCTCCCTTGCCTCGTGCCCTCTTGGACCAAGGGACAACCTGAGCCGGCCCATGGCCACGCTGTGATCCAGCAGCTCGAGAGGTAGAGACAGGAGGATCTCAAGTTTGAGGCCAACCTGGGCAGCTTTGAGACCCTGATTCAAAAAATAGGTGTGGTCCAGTGGTAGAGCACCCTTGGTTTCAATCCCCAGGCCCCAAAACAAAATTAAAAGCCGACCAAACAAAACCTCAGCTGATGGTGCGGTTTGTCACCGTGCGCGTGCTTTGGCCCTGACTCACCAGGTGCCTTACAACCGAGACACCGCCCCAGGCCCGTTCCTTTTCCTGGGCCACAGGCATGGCCACCACGCCTGCCCGTGTCTTGTGATCAGCTATTTTTCTCATGAACTGAAGAGTCAGCAGTCCCCGCTCCCACGTCCAGCGGCTTCACGATTCCCTGGCATTTGCATCTGTCACTATACAAACATGTCCAAGCTACGGCCTGTGGGAGCCCTGGCCTGGCGCTGTCGGCCTCCCTGTGGTGGTGCCCTGCTCTGTGTGCTCGCTGTGACTCAGGCAGGCACTGTGCCCCTCTGCTGCTCGGCATGTTCCCCTGAGAGCGGTTCCCACGCACTCACGCTGCCGCTCGCTGCCCTCTCATGGTGTGGCCCCCCAAGGTGGTCTGCACAACCTGCCCTGCGACTCTTCTGCAGCCTGCTCTTCTGTCCAGGCTCCTGGGCGCCATCTGCACTGCTGCTCCAGGCCCCGGAGGCCCATGACCTCTCCTGGGTGGGCTTCCTTTTAGTGGGTCCCCAAAACTTGTCTTTCAGGGAGCACTTCCTGAGCAGCGAACCAAGACGTGGTACGTGGGTCAGTCTGAGATTGCTTGGAAATACAATCTGACTCCTTACACCCTTAACTGCTGGCCGGGGCACCATTCTGGGCTGCAGTTTGTCCTTGAACCCCTGGGGTCACTGTGAGGACGAGTGCCGTCCTGACAGCTGGCCTGGAGCTCTCCCCTCCTGTTATTTGGGAACGGTCTTCGCCTCCACGGCTCTCAAACCCTCAGTTGCGATTTCATGCTACCCGGGACCTTGCATTCTGGAGACTTGTTTCCACAGTGACCTGTCAGTCTGACCTCCACCCTCTGGAATCCCCTGTGCGCCTAGGCCCCGGGGTCCCCGGCTGCCCTCTGGAGCCTCACTCGCCTGTCCTTGGTCTTCCGGTGACACCGTCCCCCTACTCTCTAACCTCGGAGCACCTTATTTTCTCTTCCAGGCATTTGAACATTCAGAGCCGACTCTGTGACACTTCTTATGACCTCCTAGTTTCACGGGTGCACCGACCCGAGACCTCCTCAGTTGGGACTTACCACCTGCCAGTCCCTGTGCACCGTCCTGGCCAATACCCATGCAGGGGGTACCACTGCGTTGGCACCCACTGCTGGAGACGTGGTAACTTCTTCCAGCTCAGCAAATGTTGACGTTCGTCCAGGCTGTCGTGTTAGCAGGCCACCCACCAAGCTCTGGCCACCACGAGCAGGCTGCTGGGTGCCACAGTGGACTGCAGGTCACAGAGAGGGCGGCATTTGATCTTCAAGTGGCCCAGTCTCCAGACTCCTACTACTATGCACATGGCACCAGAGAGCTGCGTCCAGGCACGTCCAGCCCAGGGCTGTGGTGACCGGAAGGACTGCCTCCCCCCCAGAAACTGCTGACACCCAGCGCCTCTTCACGCGGTGCTGGCCACGTGGACATGGAAAAGGGCCTGTGTGCTTCCCTGTCCATCTGGAAGACTAAGCTGCAGAGGCCTTTGCGTAGGCAGAGTCCCCTCAGATTCAGGCGGTGGACGTGTCCAAAGTCTCTAGTTCACCACTTTCTCAACATCTCGTGATAAGCAGAGATTTTAAATTCTGATGAGACCCAGTTTTAGTTTTCCCTGGGCTTGGGTTTCTTCCTGTGAACGTGCGTCTCACTCGATCAGGACCCTTCTCGCGTGGTTTCTGTGGACGGTCAAAGTTAAATTTCCCCCAAGACACTCCCAGCTGCATTCCCTGGGACGTTCGGCCTCAGTCCAGAGCTTCCTCTCTCTCTTCTGCAGTCTAGAGGGGCCACCAGGGCTGCAGACCCTCCAGGACGTCCCGTCTATGATCGCCAGCAAGCTCACGGGCCACCATGGACACTGCAGGGGTCAGCGGCAGCTTGGCCTTCCCTGCCAGTCCTCCCTGCAGGGCCGGCTTTCTGTTACTTCCAACCGGGAGCGGCTGCCCAGGATCCATGAGAAGCTACTCTGGGGCTTGGGTGGGAAGCGGGACCCAGGTCACTCTTCGAGGGTTATTCAGGGTTATTTTTGCAGGGTGGCAGAGCAGGGCGGCCAGGAGCACTCTGCTGGGCTTGTGTCAAGGCTCCTACACGAGTGAGTAGCGCTTATCCAGGGGCAGCTGGGGTGGGCCCTTGGTCAGATCCTGTTAAAACGCCCTTCTCCCTCTCACACCCAGGGTGGGGGAGGGGTCTGGTATTGACCCCCAGAAGATCCTGGCCTCCTATGGCCAGATCCCCCCCCCCCCCGGACTCTCGCCTGAGGCCGGTTGGGACCTGATGGCCTGCAGGACCAGAGCCCGTGTATGCTTGGACAGAGAGCACCTTCAGCCCAGTCCTGGTACAGGGAGCTCCCTGGGCTCCTGCTGCCCCTGCCCCCAATGGTCCCCACTGCCCCAGATGTGAATCGTCTGCTGTGGCAAATGGCTTCTCCAGTGGGAGTCAGTCCCCGTGACCCGCCCAGCACTGACCCTTCCCGCACAGCCTCTGAGGCTGGTGGCCTCCCAGTGTCGACGCCGGGTCCTCCCTCCTCGGTGCGCACCACAGCCACTGGAGGAGATTCTCAATTTCAAAGGTGATCTTTTTTTGACCCACGTGGCCTTTTCAGTTTCTAAAGGTGTCTGTCATTTGGCTTCAGATTTCCTGAACTGCACAGTGGCCCAAGGGTGTGACCTATGCGCTCACCTCTGCAGCAGCTGTGCTTACTTTGAAGGTCACTGGCAGGGGAGTTGCCAGTGCTCAGAGCTCCATGTGCACAGGTGGACGCTCCTCTGCTGGGTGTGTCCCTGGGGCATCAGCCTCCACATCCTGACTGAGGGGCCACGCTTCCATCGGAGACCCGTAGGCAAGGAGAGCAGAGCCAGCACCAGCAAGGAAAAGGGGCCTCAGTGGTAACAGGAGCAGAAGTCCATGGGCCCCACCCACAGGCGACGGTCAGCACTTCACTACGGACACGGGGCATTTTATGCCGACCACTTGGAGACCCAAGACGAAGCTCCTTGGCAAATCTTGTCAGAATGACAGAAGAAGAGAGCGAACACCTGGGCAGCCTCATGCTGAGGAGGCTCTACACAGCCTTTGGGAGACCGCCCAGGTGTGCGTGCACTCTGGTGTGCTTTCCTTCTTTCAGAATGTGAAAAAGGACATGGCCACAGTGCTGACCCTCGTGGCGGGGCCGTAGGTCAGCAGCCGTGGAGAAGCAGCCTGTTTCTCCTGCACACTTCAAAGGCACGCGAGCCCCCTGCTGCTGGCTCTGCAGAGGGCAGACTGACCCCGGTGTCCTCTGGCTCCTCCACGTCCCAGGCCCAGCCCTGTCAGGCCATGCACCCCCACACCCTGGACTGCGAACCCCACGAGGGCCAGTCTCTGCACGTGGGGCACTGGCTGGGTACCTGAGTATGTGGCTGGCCCTGAGTGTGACAGGCAGATGTGGAGACCTTGCAGACAATCACCTCCTGGCCTCGGATGCTGCCAAGGTCTCTGGGCAGCCTGTTACCCAGCACTTCCTGGGGGGACACACCCAGCTGGCCTGGACCTGTGGGTGAGCAGACTATGCACTGCCCAAGGCCCGGGGGCTGTGCTCGCTCTGCCCTGCTACCTGTGTGCTCTGGCCTGCGGGCTCGCCCTCTTCTGTTTCTTACAAATCGTGACTAAATGACCCTCCAGAGGGACAGATCTCAACTCTTGAGACCTAGCCACTGCCAGACCCAGCCAGCCTCTTCCAGGCTCAAATACGGGGACCACGCCCCCTGAAGCTGGGTGTGGGGACCGGTCAGGGTCTCCCAAGTCCCCAGGGCTGCAGAGGTGAGAGGAAGAAGGAGCCACCCTGGCCACAGGCTCAGGCCCTCCTCCTGGATCCTGGGCTCCTCCTCTGCCGTCTGCCTTGGAACCTCCACTCTAAAGGCGAAACCATGCCAGGCACGGGGGGAGAGTGACTGCAGAGACCTGGGGAGCAGAGGCCACCTGGGCCAGAGGAGGAGGAGACCAGGGCCCTGGGGAAGTGCTGAAGTAGTGCAGCAATGCTGGCTCTGGCCAGTGCGTGGCCACAAACCTCGAGACCAGG